TCTGGCATGGGCAGAAGCCTGAAGCCCACCGTTTGGCATTCCCCAGTCTGTCCATGGCGTCTATATAAGAATGATCAAGGGAAAACTCTGGAAAGAGGGGGAAGACAAGGTCTCTCCAGTTAAATTACGCATGAATGAGGGACACCCCCATCATCCTGCTGTAGAAGACATATTAAATCAAGATTTGGAAAGCGAAAGATCATTCACCAAAAGGGGCTCATCCTCATTCGGAAACTGACCTGAATCAGATATATAAAAAGAAAGGACAGGACCAGAAGCAAAATAACTGTCCTCCATTGCGGGTTGAGATGGCCCGAGGGGCTGAAAAATGCCCTGAAGCTAGGCCAGAGAATCGCCCGCACAAGCTGGGGGCAGAGAATAAGTTTCTGGATCCAGATGCGTTAGTACCGGAGGAGGTGGATATCACTGCACAAGTTCTGAAATGGATTTAAAAAAAGGGCATGTAGCATTTCTTTGGTCAAGGGGGAGCTAGAGCCTTTCAAAATACGATGTTACTTCTTCTGATGTGAAGAATGATGTGAGGAAGACAAACCCCCAAACAATTTGCGTTTTTTTCCTGAGGAATTCCCTGATTTAGACCGTTGGGAAGAGGGTTGGCCGAAAGGGGGGTTAGGCTGTGTCTCCACAGGAAGTGGGTCAGAAATAGGAGGAGGCCGAAAACCCAGACGGCGAAGCAGGCCTAAAGGTTTGGGGCCCGGCGGTAGGAGGGGTTGCAGAAGCCACCAAGGAGTCCGACCCAGGTACCATAACCAAAACAAAACCCGCGGCAGACCAAGAGCGGGACAGGCAGGGCCACCATTTAATACTGTGACTATCAGGAGCGAACTGGACTATAGCACAGTGAATAAGGGAACGTTTCATAATTACAGAAGGCGGTATTTACTGCGGTACCGCTGTATTTTTGCGGTACCAGCATTAAGCCGTTTCGGGTAACTAGTGCAGTGCCGCTAAAAAAACAGCGGTACCGCAGTAAATACCGCCTTCAACAATTATGAAATGCTCCCTAACCAAGGTACCACTGTGTACCATAACCTCCAAAGGGAAGGCTCCCAGCCATGCCGTAGAACTGAGCAAAACTGAGCTAATTGAGCTGGGCATACATGTAGGCCAGAACTGGACCAGAAGCACACTTTGGCTGTGGGCAGGTTCGGACATGCTCCCAACTGTATGGCCGGGGTGGAGACACGATGGCAGATGACCTCAAAGAAAGTCCATAAGCGAGCAGTACCATGGCAGGGGCAACCAACCAATGCCATGACTGCTCGCATGACCCTGTACAATATGCTGTCGCCAGACTTATCAGCAAGCCAAAGCTGCATGTAGTTGCCAGTGCCACCCATTTAGCAGGCTCGCTTACGCCCTAGGCGGCCAGGAGAGGGGGGTAGATGGGCCAGAGGTTGCTGGATGCTTGAAGACGGCCCGCAGCGAGCATCTTATGATGCTAAGATTGCCCAAGCGGCATTACTGGACTGGATGGTAAGCCAAGCCCAGCCAGAAGAAATGCTGCTACATGACAATGAGTCACCCAGTAGTGCTCTCCTGGGCAGACTCCACCACACCCCAGAGGGCTAGTAGGGGGTGCAAGAATGGGCCAAAGACGCTCGAAGCTCGAAGAAGGCTCTTGGGTGTGCAGCTAAACAACTGGATGCGTCACACCGCGCTAGGGGACCGGCCGTCAGACGGCTGCGAGTTGCCAAGGTACTCATTTGTTGAGCAAACTCACATGCTCAACAGTACAGTACTGCACCAAATGACTTTATCGCATGGCCGTACCAAAAGGGAAGGAATAGTAAACCTATGCAATGTTCAAGAGGTTCACAAGGACCAACACCACCATACCACTGTCCTTACTAACCAAGCCATCCCTGACCAGCAAACGGGCATTACATGTACTACTTGAAGCAGGATGAAGAGCAAACTCTCAATATCTTCCTCTAGAATGTGAACCGATATCTAATACACAGAAATGGAGAAGCAATACCGAAAGAACAGGCAACGCCAAAATTTCTGGCAAAATATAAAAATCAACAAGCAAAACAACTCACAGAATAACAAGACAACCGCTCTCAAGATATTCTGATAACTTAACAAATTTTAACAAAAAATGCCACTATTGGAGGGAAGCTAAATAGAGGGTATATTCAGAAAAGCAATTGGAATAAATGGAAGAAAGCGACAAACGTACTCAATTTTATTCTGAACAAAAATATGTAAATGGAAGAAAGCAAACAGCGCTACCAGGTGAAAACCCAGAAAAATATTGATACGAAAACTAGGTCAATACCAGGGTCAGTCTGCCAGTCAGTCAGTCTGTGCAAGACTGAGAAAAGAACAACAAAATATATATATTTACAAGGGAAAAAGAAACAGTCGTACTGTTCACAAGAATTAAAAAGAACAAACGAGGTGATCGAGAAGTGACACTGCAACACAGAGTAGCGAAGGAAAAACTCGGTAAATTTTGGAGCGATAGTCAGTCTGATAGTAATATGATAGTAATGGCACTAAGAAAAAGAGGAAGAACATTGTGGCCGCCTCCGCAGGAGTCGTGTGAGTGAGGACGCACTACTGGTGATCGAGAATTTAGTGAATGGAAGTAAGAACTACAGTAGGAAATAATGCATATGTATTGGTAATCTGCGTAGGTTGCAGGTACATGTAGTAGACCTGTAGTTTTCTGAGGAAACATCCCTGTTTTACCAATTAACATAATGCACTGTGCCTACAGTACGTGAATTCATTTAACCCTAAAAGAGCCAGGCTATTTTTGACCATCTCGCAGCAAGGGGGAGCAGATTCTGCATTCTCACCCAATTTTTTGGGTGTTTTTTAGCCTTGGCATGCATGTGCATGTATGTACTCCCCGAATGCGATGTTTCCACTTAATCTGATATACAGTTTTGTTAGTCATTTGACGTTCAAGGCTACATTTGAGCCAGCCTGCACTGGGCACCGCAATGGATAAAGTATATATTTTATATATACCTGTCTCGGAAAATTGCATGCTGTGCAAGAACAGTACCGGTATACTCGATTTTCACAAAATTGCTATCAAAATTACTGTAAAGAGTTACTTTAATAATTCCCAAGGGCTCAGCTCCTAAACAAAATGCACTATAGGATATTGGGTAAAAGGTCAAGGGCCAGATTCTGTCATCCCCCTGGCTCTTTTAGGGTTAAGTACGACAGTAGAAAGTACATTTATACCGTAGTTGTAGTTGAGACCATCACAAGACCAGACACAAGATCCTGCACAAAAAACAGGCACAACTGACAAGGTGAAAAATGACAAAGGACTGCTTTAGTTGCAGTTCATTTGAATAGCTTGTGGCTTGAATTCAGACTGGAGGTTGTGTTGGTCTTGTGCTGGTCTTGTGTGGTCTTCTGAAGGTCTTAAGTGGTCTTGACTACAACAAAGATTTATACACTGTTTGTTGACCCGTCACGGAAAAACTGGTGCTGTGTGAGAACCTGTTTTCGATTTCCACAAAATCTGAGTCAAAGTAAACACAATGAGTTATTGAAAAAACTCCTAATGGCTTGGATACTGAAAAAATGCACTGCACTGATATCAGGAAAAACTTTCAAGGGGTATGCAGAATTTATCCATCCCAACCTGGCTTTTTTAGGCTTGAATTATTCTTCATTTAATTAATTGGCTGACTTTTTCCACCTTTCTGTTTGTTTTCTTGTTGTCATAGGTGAAATTAGGTGCGCCTTTTGGTGGAGTATATTTACACACTTCAATCAAATATTACATCTACATGTATTAAGCATTGTCCTGCATATAAGAACAGATCCCAAATTTCATAGTTCGGACTAAGTTTAACCACATGCTGCTGGGTGCTTTTAAAAATGCGGTGCACACATACGGGCCATTTTCAAGATTTTCAGTTTTCAAAATTCTTCAAAAATTCATCATTTCACTGAATGGACGTTTACACCCACACGAATGACTCCTTGGTGGCTACTTTAAGCTGACAGGTAACCTTCATTGTCTCCTGAGTATTTCAGCCAGGCCTGCTGCCCTGTAAAGAGAGCTTAGAATTTGTGAGGTGTTGTCTAATTTCCTTTGTTCCCAGTGAATGTGAGTGGCGTCTTTTCAAACACTGCTGGATTAGCATGCAGCGATGATGTGTTGCTCATCAATGGAACCCCGGAGCACTTTTGTCCACAGTGCTAAAATGCAGGCGTGCTATACCTAAAACAGTGGTACACTATTGAAAAACAGTGACGGACTACCTTCGAAAAATGCAAGCCGAAAACTGATGGCAATTCCCAGCAGCAGGTCTTTTGTTCCAAGTTCCGGCAGCAAGGAGATTTTCTCATTACTTAAATATTTTTAGGAAAGCTTTCTTGCATTGTTACTATGACCTTTCCACCTTCTTCTTGGCAGCAAAAGGCAGAAACTTTAACATTTTGGTGATAATGCCAATGAAATTTCCATATTCATGAGCTATCATCCACCCGGAACAGTAGTGGCTCCACAGCTCTGTGTACAAATACATATCACATTTTTCTACATTTTCTTGACTTTCCTCTTTCTACAAGTTTATCATGCTTTAGTAGCTTGTCTGGACAATAGCAACAGCCATATTTCTTTGAACATGTTGAAACTTTTCGCGATTAATTGGTAATGGCCAGTTTTTCCTGATACTTTGTTATGAGATAAATGTGAAGGACGACTTTGTGTACTCTTCTTACCCTCTTTTGGCAAGTAGTGGCTTGCGTGACTAAATAAAAATACTGTGAAATAATTTCTTTTAAACACAAAAACTTCAACCTTATTGTCACTTTCAATGAAAAGAGGTAAGGATCTTGTGTGTACTGTAATATACATATACAAGTACATGTATACTTCTGTATTCAGCTGAATATCCTCTGCATGTTTCATTTAACATCATCTGTCCTACATTTTATAAAACAGATTTCTAGATCATGTGAATGAACTAAAGAGCAACAAACACCACTGTACTTACATAGAACTATGGTCGTTATATTACATGCAAACACATAGATTGCGAGGAAACATGTTGAGACAATAAATAAGTAGAAAAACCTGTAGTTCCTCTTGCCGACACAGTTACCAACCCATGGACAGTGGTGGTCAAATTGCTCTGGTAAGAAATAAACATTGTGCATGATTAAAAAGTCATGAAAAGCTGGACTAATGTCATGAATGTGGAATTTTTAAATTTGGGTTAATGTACAATACAAAAATAATTGTGACTCCAGTTGTGATGGTAGAAGTGCAACAGTAGCATATAAATGGAACTACTTTACAATTTAATTATCCAATCAAGCTGTAGGCAGTGTCAGTGTCCATGGGGTTTGCTGATATGTGCACTGCATCTTTGTGGATAAGCCATTTGTTCACGCTCATCAGATTGAAAGGTCAAGTTCAGGTGGCCTATTCTTCACGAGGGTTTCTTGTTTTCGCGCTTGAATAGCAGAAACATGACTCAAGAACACTGTTTTCTAAACAGGACGACACACCACCTCCTTGTTAGGGTTTTATAGACCTTTTTCCTGTGATGACACAATCATGTGATGGTAAGGCATAGTGTTGTGATGGTACTCTACTTATTCAAGATAAACTAGTCAAGCATGCAACATTCGCATGTGCACTCGTACGTGATTGAAGCTGCCCGATGGAATATATACGATCACCTTGGCCAAGATTTTAAGGAAGGAAACACCACATTTACAACTAATGAAAGACATCAAATACTGGCCCATGGTTATACACTATAGTTGTTATCTCATTTTGTTGACTTTTTCTAGAATGTTTGTTTTAACAAAAGAAGTTTTGTGGAAAAAATCTTTTAAGATTGGAATTTTCATTGGGAAAGTTCAAAATGTCAGAATTCCAATTCTCTGCCAAACGCGTTATATACCGGTACATGTAGATGCAGGAGTATACTACTTGTACCAGTACATGTATACTTACCAACGCAATTATCACAAAGACTGCAATGTGATGCCCTAGGAGGTCTGAAGATCTTACAGGTGAAGCAGTATTTTAGTTTGACAGTCTGACCGTTAATTACAACTTCTTTAATCCGAGGAGGAGGACGGTAGGTGGGATTATCTGGATTGGGTACCTCTGTAGATAGGAAACAAATAATGGTATTTGAAATGTTTATGACCATAGTACATGTGCATGTACAATATTCCAGGAGAAAGAAAATGTAATGACTCCTTTACCAAGCCAATAAAAAATCACTAACAATGACCCTGTACACGTGTAACATGCAACAATGATTCTCTGATGCTCTGTACAGGATACATGCACCTACAGTGTATATTATTTACTCCCATCCATGGCAACTATACACAGTCCATGTACATGTACAGACGGGTACATGTTAATGCCCACTGTGTTGTTGATTGCCCAGTTCCACAATTTGCCGGTTCTACAAAATCGAGAAATTTGACTTCATTTTCATCAAAAAGATGAAATCATGGAAGACATGGTTTGCATTTCAGTTGGATAGTTCACATTTATGTCTTAAGGAAAACTACGGAACCACCACACCAACTCACAAAGTACGGCCATGGCCTTTTTCACCTACATGTAACACAGTCTGTGACTAGTTGTGCATGTGCATTTTGCATGGTGTTACGTTTGTTGCTCTTTGAAGCACTCATAACCGTGATATTTATAAAACTAACGACCTTGTTGTAGTCGGAAATGATCTGTTATCCAGCCACAAAACTATGAGGTGTGTACTCTTTTAAATTTGTATCTTTTGGATGCAAAAGTAGCTGCTAGATTTTTATCCAGTTCAGCAAATGCAGGTTTTATACACGTACCTCTAAGCAAAGTGCTGGATGTGAACATGGCTGTCCGAGTCGGAAAAAAAAGCCTTGCCTTACAAAGAGAAAGGGCACTTTTTGTGGAACCGGCAAATATTTGCAGACCAGAGCAAACGGCCAACCCCTGAAAAATGTTCCGTAATATCTTTGTTTCAAATAACTCTTCAAAGTTGTTCAGTGTCAGATATTTTCCGAATATTTTTGGATGAATACTTTCCACAAAAGTACCTTTTAGCACTGCCAGCAACACCAGACGATTTCCATTTGCGGAACCGTGCAATGAACTGTATAATGAGCAAATTTTTACCAAACTATCAAAATTGACCATTACATAATGGCTGAATTTGGGGGTTATTTTTCCTGAAGAGAACAGCAGTGAATTAATTTCCAATGTCTGATGTAATAAAGTATTATCTTGATATCAATAATTACAGGCCCATTTCTGTTCTATCTGCTTGTATGAAGATTTTCGAAAAGTTAATCCACAAACAGCTGTTAGACTATGTAGATAGGAACACCATACTCTCCGATAACCAGTCAGGTTTCAGGCCAATGCACTCCACTCAAATATGTCTTTTGAGAGTTACCGACTACTTGCTTGAAAATATGAACTCGGGTTTTTTCACAAGAGCAGTATTTCTGGACTTAAAGAAGGCTTTTGATACTGTTCACCACGGTCGTCTTATTGACAAACTTTATGATATTGGAGTGCGTGGCCTTGAACTTGACTGGTTTAAATCGTATTTACAGGGACGGCAGCAAGTTACTAAAATCGGTGACAAGTATTCAACTCCTGCTGGAGTTCATTTTGGAGTGCCTCAAGGGTCTACACTAGGTCTACTTCTTTTCACTCTGTATATCAGTGATATAACTGGTGTTGTTTCTCGGGACACTATGATATTTTTATATGCTGACGACACCGCAATTTTCACTCGTGATCAATCTGTAGATGGCATAAATAGAGTTTTAAACAGGGATATGGCAGAAATCTCCAAATGGTTGCAAATGAATGTCCTTACCTTGAATGCTAACAAAACGAAAAGTATGCTGTTTGGTACTCAAGCTAAACTAGGCCGAGGGGGGAATAATTTACATGTTCAGATCGGCAACACTATCTAGTGTAGAGTATCTAGGTGCATTGCCGGACCCATCTTTGACTTGGAGTCATCATACCGATGCACTTGTTCAAAAAGCCAATAAACGCGTAGGTGTTCTCCGGAGGCTCAAATGTGTTCTCCCACAACATACTTTAGGCCTGTTGTATAAAACATTGATCCTGCCACACTTTGATTACTGTGATGCTGTCTGGGGAAATTCCTCAAAACTAGCACACAACGGGCTCAGTAAAATTCAGAATAGTGCTGGCCGACTCATCCTCGGTCTTCCACGGAGAATCCCTACAGAGCTTGTTCTATCGACATTAGAGTGGGATACTTTGGACGAAAGGCGTACTTTAAAGATATTGGTTTATAAAAGTCTAATTATGCAATTACCACCGCAACTGTGCAACTTCTTCATTTATACCACTGATTTGCATCATTATAATACTCGGTCAGGTTCTCATGGTTCCTTAGTCATTCCATTCAGTAAATCGAACTCGGGTAAACGCAGATTCGTTGTTCGTGGAGCTTATGCTTTCAACGCCTTGCCCGCTGCTCTTAAGAGCCCACTACCCACAACACTGTCAAGTTTTAAACACACGTACAGATCATTGTTGTTTTAATTCCTACCTGTTTGTGAGTTTCATTATTTGGTGTTGGTGTTTCAATTATTAGTTACTGTTGAGCTTTAAATACATGTATGTGTGCATGGCTGGTTCATGGATTTTAATTTTTGGTTTTTAAGTACATGTAGTTCAGTTGAATTTTGGATTTTTAGTATTTTATCATATTTGATGGATTTAACTGATTTTATTGTAATTGCTGGGCACCTCTGGAAATCAGTGTTTCACTGAGAGGTTTCCCCAGGATAAATAATTAAAAAAAAAAAAAAAAAAAACCAGCTAAATGTACTTTTTTGGAGATGTTCAACATTTGCAGATGTATGAGTACAGTACATGTCATTCTGTCCGAGCATCAGTACATGTATGTAGATATACAAAAGTAACTGATAGTTGGGACCGTGGATTTTGTACACCCTTGGGGACAAATGGCACCTGAGGCAAAGCCAGTTGTTAAGGATCTACTGGCTCTGAGTTTGTCAATGTTTTGACCAAATCGCACAGGAACTAAGACTTGCCAGCTATCTTCACACGCAGCATCAGAGATTTCAGAAGGGTGGTACATGTACGGGCACCGTATCAGTCAACCATGCACTCTCACTCAGCTCACACTTAACATGTCATTCGTCTGACAATCCAAATCATACTGTGTCACAATCATCTCACACTACAATTATTTACCAATTGGAAAAGTGTATATTCACAGCCAACAAAAATTATGGGAACACAATAGGAGTTCAGCAAGAACAGAAAAGCAATAATGATTCGACAACAACCATGGCCAGAAAGTTGCATACATGTAATTCCCTAAGCAACAAAAAAGTTCATGTCTCAATCACAGCATTAATGACAGATCACACTCGGAGAGAATGTTAGCGGCTACAGTGCCTGTACCCATGAAATGTGAATGAAAAACATAATAACCATAAGTTGTAGCTGGAAGGAATCCATTTAGGGGTCATCCATTTTTGTCATTTTTACAAGTGTACAAAGTGTACTCTTATTTCCTGGTCCCCTCCCCCTCTCAGAGTACAAAATGAATGAACAAAAAATGGTAATTTCTCTTTGTTGCGTAAGGACCCATTCTATTTCACAATGTATGGCTGTTCAAGTGCAGGAGATGACCAGAGAATAATGGCAAGAGGAAAACCACTGTCCATGACAAGCCTCAACACTCGTGGTTTTCTGATTGCCGGGGACAAATTCCTCTTTCAGTTCAGGCAAGTAGTAATTAAGGACAAATTGCACGATGGACAGGTACTTTTTCTTAAAATAAAAGTGTCAATTTTTTACATCCAAGAATAGCAGTTAGAAAATGCACCTTTGATTTGATTTGTTCTCCTCTTCACAAAAGCTTATAAAAAGTGGTGGAGCTTTGGGGGGTGCTTGAAGACTGTTTCACATGTGGCTGTGACTTCAACATTAGTGAATTTTGCTTGGTACTTGTGTATGTACCTTTTATATACGACACCAGGCAAAATTGTTGAGTGGTGACATGGAGTCATAGACATTGCTTGAACTCGTGTGAATGATGCATTATCAAAGTGGTGCGCACTCTCTGCACACACGCAATAGTTTGGGGTGACAGTTGGCTGTTGATAATCATCATTTTTAACATGTTTCTAAAAGCATACACAACCAATTCAATCCCTCCCCCAGCATACGCTTTGTACTCTCATGAAACTGACAAAAATGGACGACCCCCTATATTGTCAGGTGTGTTTCATTAGATAAAACACAAAGCCCTATTCTGTAATGTCTTGAACAATCCTAAAATGACAAACGTGCCACAAACATGTACATACACTGCTTGTATATGTTCGTATATGGGTGATTATATAAATTAGAGGTCCATCTTGGGGACATTTTGGTGTTCTGTTACAGGTGAAACCATTCAGCTTTTCTGGATGGAATTAACATTAGTACTGTTCACATTCTGTAGATCAAACAGGATTACATAGTTTATGACTTGTACAATATACTGTTCAATCTGCAAAATGTTTGATAATGTTACAATTCTACATGAAGAAAGGAAGAAAAGTTGAATGGCTTCATGTGTAACAGGACACCAAAATGTCCCCAAGTTGGACCCCTAATTTATAGAATCACTCATATGTAGATAAATGTGTACAGTGAATTAAAACCCTAACCCCCAGGACGTATATAAAATCATATTGAAATAGGAGGATTTGGGGCTGTTAGGGTTTTAAAAGAAGTGAAAATGACTTGTACAAGTACATGTACAGTAAACAAATTCCTACTTTAACTGGAATCTGCCGATCACAAAATGCCATGCACACTTGACATGTGGTCGAAAAATATAGAATATCTTACCCATTTGTCTCTCAATGTCTGCAGCTTCATCAGGTGTGGCACGAGGCAGGACACCTGGGTCACTGAAGCTGGTCCTTAGAAGTGTTGAAAGGCAGAAGATGACAAGAAGACCACCCACAATAGGGATAGCAACAGACAGGCGTCCAGCTAGGTAGGGGCAGCTACATGTAGGGTATTAAAGGAACCAGTCATGAAAAACCTTTCTAGTCAATGCAAAGGCCAGCATATAACTATAAAACCATAATACATCCAATGTTGACATTTGCCCCTGGAAGATGCACAAACCTGACAAAATAAACGCAAACCATTTTTATGTCAATATGTAAGTCTGACCATCCATTCACTGTGCACACTGTATGTACCATACCGTACATGTATACATGTAAATGTACATGTACCTCTAAATACAATGTACATTGTATCTCAGGTAACAGTACATGTAATAATAAAAAAAACATCTGGTCCTTGATGGCCTTCTGAATGATTAGTTACTGGTTGAGTTTGTCGAGTGTACAGTACTCACATAGCCATATTCTATTCCAGTTTTATATGTGGAGTTTTTACAAGCGGGGTGGGGGGGAGCATCTTGACATGTAGTGGTCATACATGTATGTTGACTTACTGTGGTTACTGCTGTGCTCAGGCACATCTGTAACCTGAACTTGACATCCCACACACTACAATTTAGGGTTTTATGTATACATGAATTTGGAGCAAGTCTGAACTTTAACCAGTAGCTTTTTGAAACATCTGTGCACAGGAGAAGCTCACTGGTTATCATCAATCAACTAAAAACACTAGCAACAGAATGACCACTGCAAAATAGAAATATATGACGATTTTTCATGAAGCATGTGCACTGAGTACATGAAGTACCGGTACATACATGTAGTGTCTGCCTACACTCTGCACATGTAGCGGTACAATTGGCATGACAGGATATTGCTCATGAATGTGGACATTTTCATTGGCTCATTAAAACTAAACTTTATACTTTTTAATGTGACATTTAAGTGTATTTCAAGAACTGCTTTCATGATCAATACACAGGGCCTTCAATGCAAATACCGGTACATTTCAAAATCTGAATAGTTGTATTTTTAAAAAGTGAATGTACCGGTAGGTTATACTTTGAGTTTACCAATTTCTTTTCAAGTCCAAACAAAGCTTGCCCATAATGATGAAAATTATGCATCACACAGGACACATGATCCAGTGGTGCATAGGCATTTTCGTTTATGGCAACTTAAAGTGACAGCATTTGTCGATCACTGAAGTCATCCATGATTCTTGAATCTATGAATACTTTTTCAACTCTTTCCCCCCAAAAAAAGGAAGACTTTACAGACTGGACATACTAAGCTAACGATCTAACAAATATGGGTACTTTTCTGTGTCATCAGTGATTGTGTTGCAACTGACCTACACGACAAACCCAACCACAAGTTATGGTATTTGCCAAACCAACCTTCAGATGTTAGAAGAAAGACTAACAGAAACAAAAGTACACTGAAGTGTTTGTTACCATCCACAGGTTACCCTCATTTCATTATATGCATATGTACACTACGTAAATGTATGACATGTACATTTAGGTACGGGTACTATACTTCCATGTGTAAATACGTACCTGTGTATTGTAAATATCCACTATACATGTACATAGGTTATGTATATGTACACATGTGCAATGTACGTGTACACTATATACATGTACATATACCGGTACGTACATGTAGAGTGCTTCCACGCACTACCAAATGTATAAAAACAAAAAGCATGAGGCAAAGTTTCTAGCAATCAAGCATTGCATTACAGTGTCCATGTGCATGTAACTGCATAATTCTCACAACATTAATTAAGATCACACTACATGTATCAAGTAAACATTTAATGTATGCCAACAGTGGTCACGTTCACATACATGAAAGTTTTCAATGAGCTTAGTCCACAAGACGGCCACTGTGGGTCATGCTTCCAAACGCCACTTCATTTACCAAACACTCATAAATGGGAAGGAGCCCTGCTGACTATAGTCAGGCTGATTATTTTGCTACAATTACAGGGAAGACTTTGTTTCCAATTGTTTTTCACTGGAAAATACAAGTGATATAAGTTACTATCCATCATTTGGAATTACTCATCAGAGCCTACATGTACTAGTACATGTAAGAATACATGTACATGTACTAGTGTGATACATACATGTACGGTATATGCCTCGCGGCATCATCTTTACTCCCACACATTAAGGAGTCGCCTCAAGGTGGTTGACTCAAGAATATGGCAAAGTGAGAAAAAATATGTAGGCCTCCCAGTACTCTTTGTTGGACATGTGCATGTACATGTATAATACATGTACATACATGTATATAGTACATATATCCATGTATACTGCATGTAGTTTATTGTAATGTATGTGATGCAAATGCACCACTGTTGGGAAAAAACTACAGAAATGTCCGTATGTGGAACTCTTACCGCTTGTGAAATTTTTTTAGCAATAAAAATAGCATTTGTGAAATTGTGGCATGTGTACCGTTTACTTTAAGACTTTGGTCTTGTCAAGCAGACCCAATATACCTTGTACCAAACAGCACACAGTAAATGTACTCACACGCCATTATACAATACATGTACACAGTGCATGATCATTTACTGAGTAGGATTTACTGCTAACAGCCATCAACACTGAAATGTCAAAAATCAGGACTCCTAATACAGGTACATACATGTAGATGTAAATGCATATGGCTGTGCACTACTTTATTACTGCGCACTGCTTAAGCCAGACAATCGACTATAAAACCACAGAAAATGCTGTTGTGTAGTGATTGAAATCTCATGTTTGCAAATTAATAGTCCCAAAAGGTTACATGTACATGTATATTGACTTCAGACTAAAGATTAGGCCTTTGAGAACATACTTCAGGAATAAAATTCAATGTCAAACAAGAAAAGTGTTTGTGGACAAGCACAGCTGCTTCGGCCCTGGTTTCATACATGTATATCTGAAACCAGTGACGAAATTCTTGACAAACTACTTACAAGATTTAATGACATGTGCAGATAGATAATATAGTACAAACACTGGTCAGTGGAACATTTAAAATCATTTAAAGTCATCTCCATACATGTAACGTGACTTGTCATATAATACCACCATCAGATGAAACTCTTTTTAGTGGTCTGCAAAGTTCCAAGCCAATGGGACATGTACATGTACTTTGCAAGATATTGTGCTTTTAGGAGTGCCCCTTTAATGTCTTGTGACTTGTTACCCGATGACGTTATCATCACATCAGGTCAATTTGGGTCTAAATCCCTTCCCTTTCTAGTTATCTGCAGAGTTTTAACCAAATGAGATATGTACGTCATGAGATACATGTATACTACTTTAAAGAGTGCCCGGTTTATGTGACTTGTCACCCAAAGACGTCATCACAACATCAGGTCAAGTTAAGCCTAAAACCCTTTCCCTTCAAGCTATACACAAAGTTCATCCCAATCTGACACGTACTTCAGGAGATAATAGTACTTAACAGAGTGCCCCTTTAAGGTCATGTGACTTGTCACCCGATGATGTAATAATAGCATCAGGTCAATCTGGGTCTAAACCCTTCCCCTTCAAGCTATACACAAAGATTTCACCCAAATGGACATGTACTTCACAAGATATAGCACTTTAAAGAAAGCCCCTTTAATGTCACATGACTTGTCAGCTGATGACGTCATCATAAATTGCATCGGGTCAATTGGGGTCTAAAATGTTCCCTTTCCACAGTTTCCAGCCATACAGAAAGTTTCAATCCAATCGGACATGAACTTTACGAGATATACATGTAGTGCTATGAAGAATGCCCTTTAAAGTCACGTGACTTGCCAGCTGATGACATCATTATGAGAACCTGTACAGGAATCTTTCTAGCTTGTGTCCTTAGAGTGTTACCTAACACGGACTCAGTCAGATCGATAGCATTGCAAAAGCAGACTTCCTGTTGAAAAACATGTACAGTGCAAAAACTGTGGGAAAATTAAATATTCAAAATTCAAATATAAAAAACGTGATGACATCATCATGTTGATTTTATCGTAGGACCATTGCTAATTGTCTGAAGGTTTGTTACGTATGAAGGCAATCATATTTTAGAAACTACCGAAGTCAAGTAACACAATTATTCTAAGGAAAACATGTACAAAACCTAGGGGAAAAATTAAATATTTAAAATTCAAAAATAAATCATGTCATCATGACGAATATCAAGTAGGATCTACCTGACATGATTATCTTAAGATCTGCCAAGTCAATCTGAAATCAATAAGATGTATAAAACTACCAAAGTCCTATGAAAGAAAAAGATGTGTACAAACCCTATGGAGGAAAGTCTGAAAAAGGAAAAAAAGACTAGAGGAACTGTCTGTCTCAAGGACAGAACACAGGGCTTTTTCACCTTTTTGTGGTTGTGAAGAAAAGCACTGTACCTTGTTGGCTTAGCACAAAATGTTTGAGAGTGTTCATATTCATATGCTTACATTTACATGTAGATCTTAACTAAAAAAGATGTGCTTCAGGAGATACATGTACATGTATAGTTCTTTGAAAACTGCATCTTTAATGTCACGTGACATGTCTCATGATGATGTCTTCATCACATGAGGGCAACATGCTTGTGTCAATCACTTCCCTTTCAAGATATCTGGAAAGTTTGAACCCAACGAAAATGTACTTCTGGCATGTCTGGAGATACAGTGCTTAAGGCTGGATGCCACTCTTCATTACATTACAGTAAATGCAATGGGCAAAAGAACTAGATGTATGTGTATACATTACATGTAAATGTTCCTGTATAATGGTTGGCTATTAGTCAGTTTTTAGCACTGAACTTACGATTGTACATGTCCCGACTAAACATCAGAAAAAATGTAAAGTACGAGTCGTAGAAACCTTTTTGTTTTGTGGTCAGGTCGAGGGCTTCAGACCGACCGGTAACACCCTATTGGTACGAATGCATTTTCTTTGGAGAGGTGTACCAGAGTCAATTTGCCAACTTATAACTACATAAAGCTCATTATGTACCAAATTTGGATTCATTTGCTGACCAAAGCTCTATTTGCCAACTAAAATTGATTACTACGGAGGTGCCATATCTAATCCCCTCTCCCACTCACTAAGCCATTATTCGTACCCCAAAAAATGTGCATATTTTCAGCTTTACATTTGGGATCATAAAGATAAATTCGCAAAACAACCTGTTTTTCATTCTACATGTACATGTATAGTACATGAATAACTTCGATCAGCATAGCAGGCTCCAGAAGTCTGCAGGGTGCTTATGGGAATAATGGTCATCGACAATCTCTCTTTGAAGCATTCTATTTGTTCAATACACATTTTATAGAAGTTCAAGAAACAGGAAAGAGTTTTGAAAGATGACGAATAAAAAAGAGCATTATATGTTGCGGGCATGTTGATCATGATGAACAGGCTAGAGTGATGCTTCATAGATTAGCAAGAGTTGCAGGCATGGCACAAACAGTGTACCACCAACGTGCAGTAAGTACTGGTAGCGATCACCCACAAATTGTGCGGCTGATCGGCCTTTCATTTGTAACTTTGTAATTTGTAACCAAACAGCACATTATAAGCAAATATGAATTTGTAATCAGCAGTGAAGAGTCAAATTTTAGAGCAGTGGACAGATAGCCAGACTGTCAACTTTTAAAGAAATCGCCAGGGGATTCGGCCTAATTCATATGGATTTTTTGGGGAAAACTGATATGCTCCCTCTTCGAACTTACATGTACCTACATGTAGCTACATTTGCCTCACATCAAGCAACTGCAAACTTGCATGTATAGTGCAGCATGTTTGGAGTCCCCTGTAATCATTAGTGCCTTCCGACTTTCTGATCATCAATGTTTTTAGAGAAGATACATGTAAATATATATCCCTAAACATCTTTGACAATTGGCTTAAAATTCATTGGGGTGGTTGAAGTTATGACTGTCATGCTTGAGCCCTGTCCGAATATTAGGTGGTGGATCCCCTAACATTGCACCAATTAAAAAAAGTCAATAAATCTGAAGTGATTTTTCGTAAAGGCTCAAGAAATCACGGTTAATCAGCATCAGTGACTCATAACATGTACATGTATATCCCAACAGTCTTTGTAATAAAGAAAAATGGTGTAACTTTCAACTGGGCAACCTCAACAAATATACCAGGTCCTTGAATCACTAGCCTTGCTGGATAATGTCAGGAGTCCCCTAAACTTTTGTCAAATTTTGTACACAACTTATGTAAGTCTTTTTGAGTACATTTGACTTGTTCCCACATCATGACAAGTTCTAAAAATATGAGCAATTGGAGAACAATGAACTTTGGGGGTTCATTTTTTCTGAAGTGAACAACAGTGAATTAATTCACTATGTCTGATGAAAGTTAGGGAGTCATGCCCAATATCTGGGACACCAACAACAATGCCAATCTTTCAGCATTTTTGACAGACATGAACAACCTACATTTGTACATGTATAAATCCTGGCCACCTAAAAATTACCGGGAAGTAATCATTCCCGCGATACTTTTGAACAGATTCGTATATGGTGAAAGAAAGATTACAATACTTACAAATATTAAAACTATAATCACAAAATAAAAAAACATGTCTCAGAAATGACCGGGTCCTGAAGTCAGCAGTTACAAGAGTCATTCAACCTGTTAGATATACTGGTGTAGTTTGAATGCCTTTAAACTTTAAGAGGATGAAGACAGCCAAATCTACATGTACAGTATCTAATTATTTTCCATCAGTTTTGTACTATTTTTTCATGACCCATTTTCTTAATAGGTCTTTCTGAAGAGCTTTAAATTACATGTCAAAAATTGTACTGAATTTCTTCATTGTTGAGAGAAATTTTGAAATCAAGGCATCTGGTACAAACAAATTAATTAAAACTTTAAATGAATTCAACTCCCTTTGATATGCACTGGTAGTCAACCAAATATCCACAAACTGTACATGATCTGCCCAATTATCACCAAATAATCATTTTTATAATTAAAATCGGAAGGTGCAAATTTGTGTTTAAATAACCAAAGTCACTCTTTTAGAAGTTTTGAAAAATGACATGTGGAGTTGCACTTTTGTTCATTTTTGGAAAAACAAGTCTTATACAAAGGCTCACAATGTAACAAAAATGTTGCAAAAATGGCCCGGATTACTACAAATCCTAAATTTCAGCTTCACTGCAGTAGACCTGCATTCAGGTACATAGGCCTACTGTCACCAATGCACACCATAGCCTAACCCATGATGTTGTGCATACTCAGGACAGAGAATCACGTTGCGCATACTTTATGTGCGTGTACGCAGCTTGTAAGCCAAATACTTGCATGCGAACACTGTACGAATTGGAGAACAGCTGAATACAGGCTACGACAACAAGAATTAACATTACTTCCAAGTTTATTTTCCTGTTTTTGTCCTCTGTGGTGATACCGGTATGTAAAATTTTTCAACCCACCAGCTGAATCGATAAGGACACATAGGATTTGCAGATGTGAAAGTGGCTTCTTTTAAAAGGTAGAAGTGTTGAAAATATTAGTTATAAAATTTATCGCCCTTGTTTAGACCCTTCATATCCAGGACTGCCTCTGTAATGTACATGTGCATGAAGTGTGGTCAGGGAGTCCACCTGAGCAGTAACAGTATAATTTACACATTTGGACATTTCTCAGCACCCTCTTTTGACACAATCCATTTTCCAGTATCTGGATCACACAGGCTTAGCCATGTGACAGCCAGAATGTAAATCAGGCATGCACATATATGCAGAAGTGGTAGCAAGTCAATTTTTACAAGTCCAGGAAAAGTCACGAGTCAATTTTTGCAAGTCTAAGCCAAGTCACCAGTCATTTGGTCCAGTCACAAGTCAAGTAACAAGTTACTTGATCACAGATCAAGTTAAGTAACAAATCATTTGATCACAGGTAAAGTCACAATTTGGTCCAAACACAAGCGAATCACAAGTCTTTTTGTCCAAGTATAAGTCGAGTGGCAAATTCTTTTAGTAATTTATTTCAAACCACAGCCAAGTGATTCTGACTTGGCCTTAGGCAGATAAGTAGAAGTTGCGAGCTGAGCAAAGTCTTACTCTGATTATTTTAAGAACCGAAGGCGTAAGTTGACAGGTCTAATATATACTTCAATGGGTTCCATTGAGTAGTTTTCTGACTTGCTTTGGTAACAAGTCATACAGAGTAAGTCCAAGTCACGTCACAAGTCATTTTTGCAAGTCCTAGTCACTAGTCAAAAACTGATAAATAAAAGTAAAGTAACGAGTCATAAAAACAGCCGCTCGAGTTCAACTCAAGCCCATGTCAAGTGATGCGAGTCTACAACACCACATGTACATATACATGACGGCAAACAAATCAGTCAAGAACAAATGAGTCCAATGTGGCTTTTTTGTAGAGGGCTCCTATGTGTACGATGTATGGATTTTTATCATTGTGCATTTGGGTGGTTACATGTACCTAACCTTTCAAAAATGCACCATTATACTAGACTGTTAGAACAGTTTTACACATCCATAACTGTCGGCATCACCCTCACAATTCACATACATGCAGGCAAAAGTTGTGAGCAAAACATCTATTTCTATCAGAACTTTTTTGTATTTTTTGGCTAAACACTGAGAGCAATTAGACTCCCTACATGTATGCATCGCAAATTCATACAATCCAAACAGAAAAATGCATCACATACCGGTACATGATTTAATATACTGTATCACAAAGTGCAATGCCAAAGCAGGAAAATGATGGTGTGGCTACATTTGTACACAGTACACTGTATTTACTTACGTTCTACTTACTCAAATGCAAAGAATAATGTGCAGGTAATAATGATCAGTCCAAGAGTTAGAAAGAAAACTCCCTTCTGTCTTGCCATCATTATACGCCCATCACAGTAGAAAGAGTTCCGCCCTGGTAAAACCTGCCATTTACGTTTTGTCATGTTGGTACCGTTATCCAGCGCTGCGTATCTGCTGGACGACGGTGAATCAGTTGGTCGTAGTGAAATATTGGTCTGCGGTGAAAGCATGTGACCAACTTCAACTTTTGCTGCAAACTGTCTCTCTTCCTATGCAAATAATGAAAAAAAGCATTTTCAACGATATGTTCAATGTATATTTAACCATTTCCTGCTGATGTGCCCAGTTTCGGGCACATAGGCTTTACACACGAGGCCAGGGAGCCCGAAACCGGACAAAAGAGCTGGGCCTTATAACAAAAGACCGAGCTGCTGGAAATTGCCGACATTTTTTCAGTTGTCAATAGCAGAGGAAATCTGTCATTATTTTGAAAGATTATACCACTGTTTGTGGCATTCAGTGCGAATGTCAATTTGGCTTCGGACATACATAAGAAAAGAAGCTCTCTATTAAAACATTTCAAAGAATTTCAAGAACAACATGGAAAGTCATTTGTAGCTGTTTACTTACACTTATTAGAGCACACTTCAAACTACTACAAGACTGGAGTAAAAACTTTCTGATCAGGCTTTAACCCTAGCACTCCTCAGTCCTCCAACAGGTGAAGGATTGAGGAGTGTTAGGGTTAAAGAACAAGACTTTCAGTGAGCAAGTTTTACCCTATTTCTCAGTATTTAAAGGGTTACAGCAATAGAAAACATCTATTTCGCGTGAAGTATTTCAAAATAACAATAAATACATAACCATTTTAAAAACATCATTAATTTAATGCTTACTGCATTAACTGTGACTGCAAAATGAATATAAAGATCCTACATTTCCCCGCCCACAAAAATGCCCTTTAGCTGTTCGTACTCCTGGACTGATTGGATGGCAGTCTAGCGATGACGTTCACGCAAATTGACATAGTTTTTTCATCCCCACAGTACACCCTTTGGAAAAAGATTGCCAAATTCACCATACAAAGCATAATAAGTACCCTCTTCCTAAACATTTCCATAACTCCCTAAACTATTTTTTCAAACTCTTAAAAACTATGGTGTTGGATGTGCACGTCCAACACCATGTATGTCCAATACTGTCAAAACCATGCATAACAGGCAATGCACTGCTGGCAGTGCAATGCCTGTATATGATGTAAAGAAAACACTAATCATTTGTACACCTCATTTGCATAAATGTACATTAAATGAGGCCTCGTCCTTCTGTAAGTTACCAAATACAGGTAAATGTTCCTGTAAGCTTCCTTTTTGTTTTACTTATTTGCATACCTTTGACTACAGGGACAAGCATACATGTATGAGGGTATAGTTAGGGTAAAAACAACCCACATGCAACATGTACCTGGATGCAAGGGCAAATACATGTGCATGTGCACTGAATATTTTCAAAAGTCATGTCAGTGTGAGCTACATTGTACATATACATGAACTCTGTGACGCAGACAAATAAAAGTTCTGGTTGTTAAAGAATTGTCACAGAATAAACAAGGTACATGTGAGTAAGTGTTTTCTAAACCTTTCTTCAAGGTACATGTAAAATCCATTGGACGTGCTGCTTGAGGAAAAGATGTTCTACAATGTACATGTACAGTGTAGTCGTTAGCATTCTTTCTCATACATGTACATCTATCATGGAACATACATGTACACTGGCAGACTAGTATAAAGCATTAGTCTGAAATACCTGTCTGAAAAAATTAACAATTTTGGGTCTTTACTGCCAATAGCTCCATACATACAGGTATGTACATGTAGTTACACTATTTCCTTGATACTGCAGTCATCCAGAAGGGTATCATAACTTATAGAACATCTATTCATTTAACAGTCCTGCAGGATATGTACTATGTAATGTGTAAAGAGGAAATCTTGAAACTGCAGCTCATGTACACACACAGTGCGTGTATATGACATACAAAAATATTGTAATTGCATGTTCTATGGGTAGACCAAAAGTTTTAGTGGTACATGTGTGATATTGTCCATCTGATTTATATGTATCATGTGTACCGGTATCGTGCGGATCTCTAAAAATAAAACATATATTTCTGTCTACCACTTTGTTTTCTTGTAATATTTTAAGTCAGGGTACACCCTTTCTAAAAATATGCTGCTCAAGATATTTCTCCTGTACATTCTGAGAAAGGTGTACCACAAAATTGGGGAATTTTGCTTCATTAAAACTTCGTTTCTCCTTGAAATCGATAAATGAAGATTTATTTGTCAAAACGAATAGATATAAGCACCGTGTCGGCGCATCGTTTGGGCTGCACTGTACATGCTGCATGCTGCAACGCGTGTCATGTGGTCACGGGTTTTTTAGAGAAAGTTGAGAGTGCCTGCGGGGGTAATAACAATCCGTAACTCACATGGAACCAAGGTCGCACATGTGTTTGCACTGGGGCCGTTCGCGGTTGCACATCCTTGGTAAATGGTCCGTGGAAAAAGGAAGATAAAGATCAATTTTGTATTGTGTGTGTATAATCACAACTGTTGTAGGAGTTCATCGCACGATGCAACCAAGCATTTTGGCCCATAACTCTCCCAAACTGGTGTATTTCTGAATTTGGAAGACTAATTTTGGTACAGAAACAACTTACAATCCTGTGAGATTTTTCTAATTTTGACATTCAGTTATTGGTTAAAAAAATGTAACAATCTATTCAAATCTAAAATCGAAAGTGAGAGAACCAAATCCTTTATTGATGGGTTGTGGCTCTCCATTGTTATTTGTCATGTGTATCACGCATGTGCTGCACTTGTGAGGACATGCTGTGCCAGAGGTGTAATGACTCAAGTAAATGACTCAACTTGAGTCACAATTTTGGCTACTCAATTCTCGATGGGTAAATGATTCAACTCGACTCAAGTCTCTGCAACCAAATGACAACTCAAATCTTTCATGGAGACTCCACACAAGTATATGTACAAGCTTATAAGACTCGAGTCTAAAAAAAAATTAAAAGCTAAAGTTTAGTTGGTTAGATACATACATGTACCTGTCACTTTAATTTATTTTCGGTACGTCTAAATGAAAATAAAAATACCCACATGACTTATAAGTAGTTGATTTTATTGTATTTTGTTCAAAAACTTGTGACTCAAATTGACTAAAGCTTGGTACATGTACGTAACTTGACTCGACTTGACCTAATGGCTTGACTCAAGTCACAATGTTAAAATGACTTGACTCAACTTGATTCACCAAATTTAGTTAGTCATTTCAACATTGAGCTACGCACTATGTTCACTGAAGGTGAAAAAAATGCAATCATTACAATTTTGTCTTTGTGCCGCATAGATAATTCACAAATATTTTACGCACTATTAGGTCAGTGTCCCTGGTACTTAAGCTTGTTGTCACAGTTAGTTCACTAAGTTGAGATCTACATTCTTGGACAAATCTCGTTGGGCCCCCAACGCCCTTTTAATGTTGGGTCTATGCATGCGGTCTGCGCTCCGGCTGGACATGAGCACATTGACCAGGGGAGTTGGGGAGGGGGCTGGAATGCGCACGGCTACTGCCAAGTGTCTGAGTTTAAGCATGCCTGTTTATGTGTGTATAGGGAGGATCTGGTTACTTCGAGTGTACGACAAAACTCTGACACAGGCTGATTCAAATCAACACTAGAAATGGACGCTTCATGTTCAAAAACGAAATCTATTTTGTACAGAAAACCTGCGAAATGCTATGGTACACGGTATACGATGCACTCCTACAGGCAGATACTCTGCAATGTACGCATCATGCCTTGAAATCACATTCCGAAAATGCCTTTAGATTCTTTTCCCCATAGGACTTGCCTACCCTCAATAACACACTTTGCTGTAGTTGCAAAATATAAAAGTAGACATTGATCTTCCCTTCTTTTAACTGTACGATGCAGCCATAATATATCTTCATGTTTTCAACCCGTTTTCTAAAAACGACGCTACACAACATGCATGTATCCCCTGCACAGCATGGCATACACACACACAACTATGAACCATAGACAAATCTTGTTGGGCCTCCAACCTCCAAACCCCTTTCAATGTTAAACTTTTCGCTGCCTCCTCTCATTCAAATACGGGCGTGTTGAGTTTTCTGGTGCAATAAGTCTATGGGCGAGCATGGTCCTCTAAGACGTACAGTATGCATGAGTATGCTTTACGTGGTCTGGACACAAGACTTGTTGATCGTGACGTTTGTTTGGGAGTGCTACCAGTGACTGTTTCCTGGTCAATACCTCTTGTGCCCCGACTACATATGGGCCTCTCCTGCGGTTTCGTTAGAGGACCATCCTCTAGGTGGTGATAGACATGATAGAGGTATTTTTGGCATGTTTGGTAAGTCTTTGAAATTTTTGAGAACCGTTTCACCCTTACTCTATATATAGGTGTGGAGTGTTAGTACGACGATCCCATCCAAAATAAAAAAGAGGAATAGACCTAGGCCTACTATTCTACTCAGTATAGTTAATGTTACAACTTCTAAATGATAAATCGCTGGTCAGCAGAAGTCACATCAATCCATGATTACTTACAAATTTGTTGTGATGTGTTCGAACCGCCCGTGGCAATGTTATTTGATTAGCTGTTTCTACGTAGCCACATGTGGCAAATGATGTGTTAGGCGTTAGGCCTAGCTACTAGTACTCAGTACTTGCTCGAAAGTCATCCAGCCAGCGTGATTAACTTACGGGGGCGCGCACACGTCGTTACACAGTTTTGTTCCACACAAAATTTAGAACCAATACAGCCTGGAACCTAATCGCGTTAATCAATCACCTGATACAAACAGTACACACAATAAAATATTGAACGTTACTGAAACCATTAACTTCAAACAATTTAAACACACTACAGCCTAAGTACAGGAAATTACACAGTAAAGTCTGAATGCACAAGTACGAGCAAGCTAGGCACTACCGTAACACAAGTCATGCAAGTATAGCAGGATCGATCACGTACGTTATTTTGCATGCATACGCAGCCCGGATATTCAATGGCGATTATTTGCGCATGTGTATTACAATAATTTGAATACCGCCCTCTCTTGACCAATGGTGACAATGAGGGAACACACCTCACGCACTTCGTCCGACTTCAGCCGACCCAGGGGAAAACAAGTTGCCGGACTTGGACGCTTATTCGGGATTTTATTCGGAAGGGATGGATTTGTCGTGTTTTGGCTGTGAAGTTCAGTCGAAATTTAACTGTGCTGCTCGACTTGGAGCCAAACAGCCAACCTCTCGTACTCATGTTGTACGCTTTCTGAGAAACGAACATGAAAAATACGTTCAAAAACGTACTTGAAAAAATGCTGGGTTGTCCATTTTTGGAGCACCACATTTATTTTGACTTGTACAAATTCGAAGTTTTCACTAATGCACTTTGGGGGAGCCGTGAGAGTCGTTAAAGTGAAATCTAAACTTCTTCTGGCTGAAAATTGGGGTTTTTGAAAAAAAAAAAGTTGACGCGAATTGTAAAAACGTGAAAATCTAAAGGCAGAGATTGAGAAATGTGGGTTGTCCATTTTTTGTCCTCCATAACTGATATAATTGACATACCAAATGGTTGTTTTGCTCAGTGTATATTTTTTCAAAATTTCAACTGGACGGGGTAAGTCTGAAGGGACGATGATTTCTAAGGGGAAGGCACTGTTTACACCCTTGACTCCAGGCTACGCCCATGGTCGAACGTCTCTGTCTACTTTTTTGTAACGAGTGAATGTAACTGTATTGGTTTTTTTCAAGATGTATATGTCAATGTAACTGGTTGGAATTAAGGTCCCCTCCCGCTTTTTACCTCTTTATTGGCATCGAGCTGGACCACAACAGGGCGCATTTTCTTAGCAATGGAAGCTATAATTTTTCTCAGCAGCGGAGGCTCATTTTGGTCCGAACTGAACCTCGCTGGTTCACGAACGACTGGGAAATGCAAGCGTCACGCGTACGGTCACATCGCTACCAACAAGGTGAACGTTACACTTCCTACCAGAATGGCTCTTTTCAACCGATGAGGGAGTGCTTCTGCTCGGGGCGGATAATGAGCTAGCCTCTGTATTTCAAAAAGCAAGGTCATTCAGGGACATAGCACGTGCGCGATTCCACGAAGAGCAGCGTAAGGCAGACTCAGAACCGTCGACGGGTCCAAATGAACTTTTCGACGAGCTATAAGATCTTTGGTTTGAATTACGGTTGTCACACGTACACCAGACCGGCAAGGGCGCGTCACATACGCTGTACACCGGGAAATTAGTTTGGCTGAAGAGTTTAATTTGTTGTTGTTGCTCCAGTTTCTCTCTCATTTTTAAGAGAAAACTGTGGAAAAAATTGTTTGGACTTGCAAAGCCGTTGGATACCCTCAGTCCAGACTGTCGATAACTGTGCATCTGGACTTGCCTTCCAGCCGTAAGTTTCTTTTTTTTAAAACAAAAATCATACCGATCGCAATAGGCCTAACCAACAGTGACAGATTTGAAAGTGATTTTGAATTCCTTCGGTACATGCACTATACTTGGCATATAGCGGGGGTTTTATTCATTGGGTTTTTACAATACAACTGGCTGTCCAAATAAAAGTACATGTATAAGCCTACGATCGGTTCCAGTCAAATTTCAGAACCTACGTCGTCATTATTAATAGGATCGTGTTATTGGAAATTATTCAGTTTAGGTATATGCCCCCGTTTTTTCATTGACCTTATTTGTTTTGTTTGTTCATATTTAATGCAGAGAATTCCAAGAAACAAGTACTGCATGATTGAGGCGTATTCACTCGGCAAAGACAAATAATTTGTAAAGCCATGATGCCATGCTCAGAACACTGCCTTTAAGAGTGCGTCTCTGATGAGGTCGTGTCAGGAGCAGTTCAAATAGGGTTTTGTTGAATCGGTTAATCTTTTATATTTTTAATAATCGATATTGTCGCTTATTTAGAACAAACTTTGAGTAAAGTTGTTTGATTTTGATTTAATCTTCCACGCGTGGAGGGGGGATCACTTTTGCTGGTGCATAATGTCCTAAAGTTTGCCCACATGCGAGATTATTCGCTTGTTTGGTCTATTATGCTGATTAATGCCATGCTTATTCAAATTGCACATAACTTTTTAGGTACAATACTGCTCTCTTGGGATTGTGTTACTGTTTCAGTATAATTATTGTCAAATCTGGAGACACACATTTTATTGCGTGACAATTAGTTGGCAAAGAACTAATTAAATATTTGGAGAGGTTTTCTCTAATGTATCAAATTCAAGGGTGTTTTATTTTATGGACCTGCACTTTGTAATAAATTGAGGTATATCAAGAGAACAAAAAAACCTTTGTGCCCGGTACAATGTGTCTTTTGTAATACAAGTCAGGGTGCTATCAACCTGTATTGTTATTTACGTCATACAGCTTTGCTTTTCATTGCTTTTAAAGAAAGAAAAAATAATGAAAACAACAACACTCCACAATGAAATTCCTCTGTTTTCTGTCCGATAGTTTTCAATTGTTTGAAAATAAGCTTATGGAAATTTTTTTGAATCCTTGGCTCTTTATACCATTAATTTGTTAACTTTAACCCCAACTACGAAGATTGCACTTATTCAACGAGTGAATTTATTCAACTGCATTATTATAAAATATTTTAATTCATACAGTCTTGAATTTTTAGGAATATAAATCAGCCCAACGGATATTACGAATAATGTGGGCTCATTTGTGCCTACAATTTATCTAGCAAAGTTCAAACGTATCCCCTTTCTTTTCGTCCAAAACATCTTCGTTCAAGAATACTACCGAGCTAAGACGTTTGAGATTGATTTATCCTGTTCGTAAGTGTGACGTCACTTCAGTTTAAACCACGCCCACTACACATGCACCGCACATAGAGTCTGGTAACATGCATTGATTGCCGTTTACGTGGAATTATGGAACTACAAGTTAACACGTAACTTCAGTGATCGTCCAATTGGAATATACTTTTTCAGCGGTTCGTAGTAAAGCGGGAAATTGTTATCGGGTAAATTCGAATAACACATAGTGTGTAGGTTCTGATTGGTCAATAAGCAGGTGTGTTATGTAATCTGGAATGTCAGGATGTGAGTTTTAAAGGTGGTCAATTGTGTAGATGGTTTGGTTTTTGGTGGGACGCCGAAGTGAACGGACGTGTCGAACTGTCGCTCGTTATTTGGCGCGAAGATTCAACGGTTGCCCGCGAAACCAGTGATGTATTAATAGGATCGACGGTGCGTTTTTATGGATCGTCACATGAAAGGTAGGCCCTATGCAGTATAAGTGACATCAGGTAATTTCTGAGACGATATACAGCTCATAAGGTCTGGAAATGACAGGTGATGAGTCTGAATCTGAAAATGACATGTCATTGGAGCAAATGTTGAAGCAGAAACCCAATGAAAAACCCCTTGGCTTTTGGGATGAGGCCCAGCCTCGATCTACACTTATCAACCAGGTCCAAGAACAATCTAAACCCGAGCCTCAAACCCACAAACAATCCAGAAAACGAGCAATAACTTACTATGGAGCATCAAAAGTGGACAACCTCATTTTTCTCGTTTTCTGCAGGTAGATTTTCGGGATTTTGGACTTTGCCTTAGCATTTTCAAAAAAAGCAATTTCCCGCTAGGAGAAATGTAAATTTTACCTTAACAACTCTTCGTGGCGCGTCAAAAATGAACAACTAAAAACTTCAAATTCCCACTGGCAAAATTACTGTCATGCTACCAAAGCGGACAACCCCATTTTCTCATGTTTTGCTAGTATCGTAGATGTTTGGGTTTTTTGAAGTTGCACAACCCCTTTTCATAAAACCCAATTTTCTGCTCGGAGAAATTTGGATTTTACTTTGCCGACGGTGGGGTGGTCCAAAAGTGGACAAGTTGAAAACTGAAACACCGCTGCGCTCCCTACGCTCAGAATGGAACGGTCTTAGGAAGATGGGCAGCCAACATTAACGGTAGAGGGTCCATGGTCGGTCGGGAATTTCCATTTCAAATAAAATGAGCGCATGGTGATATGTTCCATAAACGATGCTACAGCTAGAATAAACCATTGTGTCCATTCCAGTAGAAGAATTGAATTTGTTGTGGAACGAAAACAGGTTGAAATCGAAAAAGTCATTTCAAGAGAAGAAGTTAAGTGCTGTTTAATCAAGTGAATCAAGAGTTTCAAAAACTCGAATTTGCTGAAATAATTTTGACATCCCATGAAATAATTCCAAAACACGTATTCAGCCATTAATTCCAATAGCAAAAAGGATAGCCACGAAGAAAATAAATCTTTCAGTCAGTACACCAGTCGGTCACTGATATGACATCAAAGATTTAATTTGATATTTATCATTCAAATCTTTGTTCAGGTCATCAAATACAAGTGAGTAGTTACAGTGGAGGCCTGGGTTATTAATATTAAGACAAATGATTCAAAGAGACAACGTGAAGAGATATTAACACAATGAAAACACAAACTTGCAATTGACGGCCCAGAGCACGCATTAGATACATGTACTGTGAAATGCATGGACGGTGGATTGAATAACAAATCTTAGGATATCTGAATATCAAAAAATTGTTGTTCACTTTTGCCACTCCGAGTAACTTCCACTATAATCAGTTCACAATATTTGTCAGGCTTGGACATATTATTTTCAAATATTTCCTATAGAATAATACTCCCCTCTTATAAATCCCATAAAATTCACATCCTTGACGTGAAGTAGGTCCGATCTTTTTCACAAAATCGGCTAAATGGAAATGCCACTCCAAGTAACTTCCATCATAATCAGTTCACAATATTTGTCAGTCTTGGACATATTATTTTCAAATATTTCCTGTAGAATTATACTCCCCTCCGATAAATCCCATAAAATGCACTTCCTTGACGTGAAGAAGGTCCGATCTTTTTCATAAAATCGGCTAAATGGAAATACAAGTTGCATGAAAAAGGCCAATCACATGCAGCAAAGGAAATGACGCCTGATGCCCATCAATAGACGGCTCCGCACGATTGCAGTACTACTATATGTTATGGAATTCCATATCTGCCGTTGCCCGTCGCCCGTCGTCCGTCACATTTTGCTTTTTGTTGTGTCCCAATTCTACATTTACCAGTTCCATACATGCCATTTTTCGTCGTGCGTCCCCCGTCGTCCGTCGCCCGTCGTGCGTCGTGCGTCGCCTGTCGTGCGTCGTGCGTCGTCCGTCGTGCGTCGCCCGTCGTGTGTCGCCCGTCGTGCGTCGCCCATCAAATGGGTTGCATAGGACCTGCAAAAGCCGCGGTTTAACAAATGACAATGTGATGATTCCATTCACTTCAAAAGATCTTTTCCGAATAAGGCAAGTACAAATCCCACCTGCAAAGCATATACTAGTCACATAATTAATTCCGATAATGCTAGAATACCCCTGCCTCTTGACAAGAAAATATCGCCTCTCTGGGAATTCAACCAGGTGTTTTTTGGGGGAAACATTTTCAGCAAAAAATGTTACGGCCAACTTATCCACAGTCTAATTCTAATTTGCATACTGTAAAAATGTGCCGACTTGTTTTCATCAAATTCCAGGAAGAAATCTGCCAACCGATACAGATATTCCATCTTATCCCCTCAATTTCACCTTGAAATCCAGAAATACTGGACGTGCTTTGGATAACAAACTGTTTATTAAATGTATTGTTGGGGGCAATTACCACTTGGTTTAAGTTTCAGAAAATATGACGTGTTGGTTTTNCAGCATATCAGCATTATTTATGGGGCTAACAAGTAACGTTACTGTTTATAAGACTTCTGTGAGCCTACCTGCAACCCAAGTCATGTCTAATTTGGAGTATACAGCAGATTTCATCGTAGGTATACCCGCCGTCAAAATAATGTTGAATCAGTTCATCTCTTATGAAAACTATTAAGGAATCAAACATTGTAAATAATCTATTATAAACATTCCGTTCTGTGGGATATCGTGCAGGGACAGACAGAAATATTACATAGGCTATAGACCTAAAGTCAGGCTGTTAACGAGTAAAGTTACGTCTAGAGTAACTAAGTTATCGAGAAAAACAATCTACCCCAACAAAGGTCTTTTTTGTTAATCTATTTATGTAACCAAAATGCTATTATTTCATATAAACCGATGCCAGGATATTATTTCTTCTTTCAATTGGAGTTTGGCGCAACTGCAAAAAACGCCTACATGTACATCTTCTAGTTCTATTGCTAAAATGAGAGTCAGGCATGGTGGATCGATCGAACAAGGACATGTACATGTGAAACGATCAAGGGTCAAAGTTAAAAATACCACTGCGCAATCGTGACAAAAAAACACGACGGGCGACGCACGACGGGCGACGCACAACGCACGACGGGCGACACACGACAGGCGACGCACGACGGGCGACGCACGACGGCAGATATGGAATTCCATATACCGTCGTGTCGTGTCGTCGTCTGTCGTATCGTGCCGTCGTACCAGACTGTTTCAAAAATGGCTGGTGATTACTATGGCCATTAGAGGACGTTTGTCACACGTCCTGGAAAAAATAACGTGCGTGCATAGGGTTACGCTCATTGATCTCAAGTTTATAAAGACTGGATAGGAAATCGCGTCCAAAACGCGTCCCGCGTGTGCATATTTTCAGGAGGGTAAATAACAAGCATTGGGAATTTTGTTACGTGCACTTTCAAACGGACATTTCCAAACTGCTGGTTGAGGCTATTGCACTTCAATCAAGGAAAACTGAATTCTGCCCCCGGAATGGATAAATTTGGAAAGAATAGGCCTAATGGTTGAGGAGATCAATCGTTGCACTGAACCAAATACCTGCCCATACAGAAAAATTACAAAATTACAATTTTTTTCATTGGAAATTCAAGACTATGGCCAGAAGATCGTTTCAATTTTATATATGGGTTAGCAAGGTGAATTTTTTCATTCACCTTTCCCCGAAGATACCCCCAAAAGAGTAGTAAAGAGTGCAAAGTTTTACTACTCTTATGGGGTATCTTGGGGGAAAGGTGAATAAAAACAATTCACTTGGCTAACCCTATAAAACTGAAACGATCTTCTGGTCATTGTCTTGAATTTCCAATGAAAAAACGCGGCACTATTTCGGTCTGATTTGCCCTGTTTTCTATGGGCGCGCGCGTACTTGGTGTAGTGCAACCATTGATCTCCATTATAAAGACTGAATAGGTCATCGCCCATTGTGTGTACAAAATGTGCAGCCGTACGATGGCGGCGCGCTGCGTTTCAGGAGGGTAACGTGATGCTGTATGGTGTGCATTTAGTCAAAATTGATTGTGGAAAAAAGTTTAATGCCAGAGTATCATTTCTCAACATAACAGACCAATTTCTTATTAAATAACCAACTCAAAACTGATAATAATTAACATTTTTTTCTGTTTGTTGTGTTTGTTTTGTTTTGATTTTTTTTCATTTTTCACACCTCTTGTCTACGGTCTCGCTCGGGCAATGTTGTCACTTTGGGTCGGTTCAATCATGATTTGTTGAGTGTGTAAACATTAAAGTTCCTCCAAGACCCACAATAGGTTTTACACTATAATGTCCAACTCTCCATGTGTTTTTCTGTCTGGTGTCAATGAGTCAACACTGAAAAACATCAAGTAAATGAAAAAAACCTTAATTTTAATTTGAAAGAATCATGGGAAAAACTGCACTGAAATTCATTCATATACTAAATAAATTTCTTGAATACTGATAAGCGTGAGCCCAAAATGAGCAGAACTTTGACTCCAAGCCAAGCTAATTAAGTTTGTGCCACTTTCACCACAGCAGTTATAAATCAAATAAAAAAAATTGAGTTCCAAACTTGACTAAAGATTTACATTAAAAAACAACTTTCTAAAAAGAAAAAAGGTCAGTGTTAACTGAGAACGAATCATTTTATAATTTAGACAAAGTTTCTTTCATTGCGTTGATAGAATTCCCTCGTTTGTTACTTTACTCGAGGAAAACGTCAGCTCTCTGGCTCTTGCTCTAGTTTCATCTCTGCCCTGAAGATGAATATTCCGTCACATCGTCTGGGTTCAATGCATCTGCAGATCTCACATACACAAATTATGGCTTTCTTGAGATTTGTCCAGTGAAATCTTGGGAAAATTAACGACAATTAACCATTCAGTATTTAAAACCACTTTTGCCGATAAATAATATTTCAGACGGTCCCAAGCATTATAGCACAAGGCATGCAGAAACCTTCTGAATGTGCAATTCACATGTCAAAAGCTGCTCCTTCTTCCAAACTTAATTTTACCATCGATCTTTGGCAATTTGCTGCTGCGCTCACCTCAACCATTATTCTTCCAAAATTTATCCATTCCGGGGGCAGAATTCGTTTTTTTCGTACGTAATCTGATGATTGAAGTACAATAACCTCATCCAGCAGTTTAGAAATCTCCGTTTAAAAGTGCACACAAAAAATTTGCAACGCTTGTTATTTGCCCTCCTGAAAATATGCACACGCGGGACGCGTTTTGGACGCGATATCCTATCCAGTCTTTGAAATGGAGATTAATGAGTTTAACCCTATGCACGCACATTATTTTTTCCAGGACTTGTGACAGACGCTCTCTATTGGCCTTAATAATCACCAGCCGTTAGGAACAGTCAGGCACTACGGCACGATACGACGGAAGACGACACAACGCGACGGCAAGACATCAGGACGCGACAGCACGACGGCAGGACCCGACGGCCTAAACCACACTGCATAAAAACAATACAATGACAGGTGACGCGACATCACGACGGCAAGACGGGACGGCACGACGCGACATCATCAAGAAACAACGAGACGAGACGCCCCAACGCGACGCCACGACGGCACGATGCGACGGCAAGGCGGCACGAAACAATGTATTAAACACAGCATAAAAGTAATGAAAAAAGAGGCGACGCCAAGACGCAACGGGGTGATGCGACGGAGCTGTAGTAAGATTGCGTCGTGGCGTCGGGTCGACGGGACGATGGGGCGACGCGACGCAATTTTGGCGGCTATAGAACATCATAGTTTAATGCGTTGCGTCGTGCCGTCGTAGGAATGGGGTTTTTGTATAGTGTGCGTTATGCCGTCCTGTCCTGCTGTCGTGCTGTCTCGTTGCCATGTCTTGCCGTCGCTTCACGTCGTCACACCTTCGTGTGGAGCTGTCGCGTCGTGTCGTCGTCCGTCGTATCGTGCCATCGTGCCTTAATTTTTCTAGAAATGGCCGAAAATTACTAAGGCCAATAGATGGCGTTTGTCACAAGTCCTGAAAAAAATAATGTGTGAGCATAGGGTTGCACTATACCGAATACACGCCCATAACAGTGCAAAAATCAGACCGAAAAAGCGCCGCCTGTTGACTTTTGGGAAGAGTACGGCCTCCATATTTTTCATTGGAAATTCAAGGTTATGGCCATTAGATCACTTTTCGGTTCAATGCTATAGGGGTTATTCAAGTGAATTACTTTTATTCGCCTTTCCCTGAAGATACCCCGAAAATAGTTGTAAAACTATGTGCTCAGTTGTGAATGTAGCCATTCGCCTCTGTCCAAAATAAGCCCACAGGTAGGGGCTTTTGTGAGGAAAATAGGACTCCCCCGAACTGGAAACTACCAGTCCCAAATTCACGATTTAAAGAAATTTCTCTATGATCCCTCTTGATTATGGCGAGTCTTATTGTAAAATCCTTTGGGATCATAAAATATTGATTAATGAGTTCGCGCGCTGAAACCAACGATTTCATTGAATGAACCTCAGTGGGGAAGCGCGGACATCCGGGAGTTTCACAAAATGGCTGGTAGCAACCACACCGCGCCGACGAAAGCAACTGCAACAAGGGCGCGCATACTACTGATCGAAGAAAATATTGTGTAATCCGATCCACAGACTGGTTGCACTGGTGCTTCAATGGTTGCTGTTTTCATGGGCGCGGTATCTGCCTTTTTGCGAGGGTCCTGGACGTCCGCACTGCACCTTAAATATCATTTGAAGGAGGCAAAGAGCCTAATCCAGCCGCTTTTGACTTTTACTTGAACGCCAACATTTTCCAGTTACAGTTGCATGGAAGTATCCCAATAAATATCCGCCTGTGTGTATTAAAATATAGAGACTTATCCGCAACAGTAGTTGCAGAGCCCAAGAATAACATTTTTAACAGTTTTGGTCTCTAGAAATGCGACTGAGTTTTATCTGCAGTGTTAACAATCGATTCAGTTGGTTGATCCTGTTCACTAACGAGGAACATGCTGAATTCAGGACAAAAGGACAAAAGGAGATTAAAATCTACGACAACGACACTATTCTCGAAAAAGAAATTCAAGGCAAATGGTGCCGATTTTGGAAGGAAAACAGGATACCCTCTAACCTGATAATTTGAATAGGCTTAAGTATTTACTAAGCATGTTTCGGTAACATTGTGATCCTCTCCACAGTCCAAGATCTTAGAACTTATTTTATATATTATTTTCTATGGAGGTGATGAGATGGCGTATGTCTGTTTATTTCTTTCCTTGAGAAAGTATAATCCACGGTGCAAATACGTTGCACTGACATGTTTTTTTCGTGCAATGCAGAGAGATTCCAACCCAGCCTTAAACAGGCCTTTCGTAAAAATCTTGCATGAACCGCCCTCTGGTGACAAACTAGTGAAACTGCCAACACGGCGGCTAATCAAGTGGCCCATTATATACCATGGGACGGACACAAACGGTCACACTTCATCTGTGTCTCCTGTACCGACCTCTGCATGCTTTCCATAATAAGGCACTGCCGATATCGTGTTTTCTTTTCTTGTACAAAATACGGAATCATACTTCGAGCAGCAGATTATCATAATGTCGAAGTCCCAATTTGTTGGCGGCCTCGTACTTGTGTCATGCGTGATCTGCTTCCACTTTGTTGAATCTGTCCCCTTAGTCAAGGGGAGGGAAGAATCTTTTTCACACTCTACACTTGGTAAATCTCCAGACCCCCAGTCCCGATCAGCTAACCAAGAATTCGATGTTGCAGCAATCCCACCACCCCAGGCACGACCTGCACGTGTACTTTTGCAGAAGAGCCAGAAGTTTTCGGTGTCTTTGTTTCAGCCTTTCCCTCGTGAGGTATCTCGAATTCAAATCTCAGCTGTTTTGGTAGATGATCATCCTACCGCTACATCGAAAGAGCATGGCTCAGCATTCGACGTCAAGCAGCCCCTCCAGGGTCTATTAAGACAAGATACAACTGCATTTTTCCCTCCCATCCCAGACCTTCCACCACCCCGGGAAAGCACGGACAGAGACCAATTGGCAGATGGTGATCGTGATGAGCTGAGCGGTGAGGACCAGTTACCGATGATTCCAGAGTTTCCTGAAATCCCTGAATGGATGAGGGTGTCTGCTAGTCACAAAGAAAAGTCAACTTCACCAGCACCAAGAGGGTACAGGGATGTCGAAGATGGTACGATCGCCAAGGGGGAAGGCAAAAGTCACCGAAAGTGAAGGACGGTGAGCATAACTAAAAACACTTAATATTTCATTATTTATTTCTTTTAAATGTGCAGGAAGAGCTGCTCTTTTTTGAAGACCAATTACTGCAGTTTATAGACTGATAGCGTCCGACTGTTAACCGTCGCTCATGAGGTTAAAACTGCAATTTTGCCCTTGTCGCTTTTGGTGGACGAGACATCCAAGGGATTGGGTTGATAAGTTTCATTTTTTACTCACTGAAGTGGAGCCATGGTGCCGTTACGTTGTGCTGTCACGCCGCATAATGCTACAGTAAACAATACGCCATACGTTTTTTTCTGAATATTGTACTGTATGTCAGGTTTCTGCGCCTAAACGTTGGCCCCCATAGTCGAGTCGCGACATCTAATCGTCCAGCGCGTCGTAGTCGTGAGAGTATTATCAGCGTTCATTCTCCTCAGCCAGTCTTAAATGTTTAAGACCAGCCAGGCACATATTTATTCCCAGTCATTATACCCTTTTATTGTCAACGAGTCAAAAGAAGTTAATGTATGATATATTTCCAACGATTTTGTTCGAGAAATTAATTTTCATTTTCCCAAACACTTCCCTCCATTTATGGTATATTCCTGGTTCAAGTTGTAGAGAATCCAGTTCGTAAGTGACTTCGTCACAAAGGCGGACGCGCCACGATTCGCAGGCTCCCATTGGACGATCGCAGAAGTTGCGCGTTAACTTCCGGATCCACGGTTCCACATAAACAGCGATCAATGCATGTAACCCTATGTGCAGTACACGTGTGCAGTGGGCGTGGTTTAATCTGAAGTGACGTCACACTTACGAACCGGATATGGACATTGCGCGCAAGTGGCGCGTTCTGCGTCGCACGCAGACTCTCGACCAAGAGGGGTGGAATAACTGTCTCGTATCCATTGATAATGGGATCAATGCTCGTATATCACGTATGTTCTTGACGCACTGGCAAAGTGCGTGTGCGCAATATTTGCACTTAACGACATAGCAACACGCTACGTCTAATTTTGTGCGCTTTAATTGCAAAATGAAAGGTCAACTTTGTTAATGGATTTCCAGGAAACGGAGCATAAAATGAAACTTTTCACGGCAAATCCAAATTTGTAAGTAGCATTGATTTTGTGTCCTGCCTCGATAAAAGTAATGAAAACTGTGGTTGTAAATAACCCAGATATTTTTTTCATTTTTCACCTGAAAAAAATTGAGTGTTGCCAAATTTGATCAATATCTATTAAAAATGACTTTTCGTGATAAATTAAAAGACCGCCTCAACCGATTGCACCCAAAAACTGGGAATCCGCAGAATATTTATTTTTTTAAAGAAGATTGAACCAAATTTTCGCGTGAAATCGTGTGAACCCAGACATTTTGTAATTGAAAAACACGTCACATATCCCCTCATCTAAAACAATTTTATGTCCTAATAAAACTTAGTTCTTAAAGTCAGGAATTATTGCTTTGTCAAACTTTTGACGAAAACGAGGATACCCTTGCACCATACTCTTGTATATAAGGACAGACTTTTGAGTAACATTCTTGTAGCGGCGAGTGACGGGTCAAGTACAGTCGTGTGTGCGTGTTTACATGTGTACGCGTGACATGTACTGTACATGTTCATGTTCCTGCACATGCGCTGGGCGGATAGAACGGCTGTGATGTCTCGGTGCAACACTGATCCGTGTCCAGAGCAGGAGAACTTGATCAGTGAACAGAAAATGTCACTAATTTAACATTCTACTTTATGAAATGGTAGCAGTACTAACGAAATTGGTATAATCTAACAGAAAATCGTTATCCTCGTGTTGGATATACCATTTAATAAAAATGGATACAAAATGGCTCTGAATTTCAGTGCACCGTTGCATGGATTGAGACGATTTTGGGGTGATTCAAAATGACCTGAAAATTAAAAATATTATCCGGCGGATTCAAAATAAATGCCTGAAATCAATGCATTAAGGGTAAACCTTTAATTTGGCGCTAGACTCGTGTCTCAAAAAACTTCTTTTCTATTAAAATGAATTGATGAAATTATTGCAAAATGTTGCGATTTCATTTTTTTCGTTGTTAGAAAGGTCTGTAAAATCCACTTTTTATAGCGTTCTGAGATTTACCGTTATTTAAAAATCTCACTAATGCAGGAAAATTGTGTGTTTTTCGTGTGTTGTTGTTTCTACACTTTAGTTTTTTACGAGGGCAGTTGTTGAAAAATTCGTCTTTATTTGATCACTCACAGTCCCTTAGGGACATAGACGTGCACTAGTGACCTCTTTGCCAGTCCATGTATTTACACTATTCTCCGGATCCACTCTTAAATGCACGTTTTAAGTCAGCCAGGGATGTATTTATTCCCTTTTTAAAGGATGCAGACAAGAATCGAAGAATGGCGGAGAATGGGAGGGAAAGACATTTTCCCTGACAATTTGCGGCAATTCTTTCGTTGGGGAGGGGTGGCAAGGATGTATTTTGTTGATGAAAAATATTGCAGAGCCTGCTTTGCTGGTTTTCTCTTTTCAAGTTTTATTCAAAAATGAGTATTTTGTCTTAACATATTGATAATAAATCTTATAGGCTGATTAGATCGTTTTTAGAGGTCAAAGTGAAAACTCCAAATCTTGAGAAGCGTAAGACTCCGTGTATCGGGCCTGATTACTGAACTAAATGTGTTTGCTGTTGATCTGGTGTCTTAAAGTTGATCAAGCGCAAACCTTTCTCGAAATGGTCCCCAAAGGGGACCACCTTGGTGGGTAGTTTGTAGTTTATCATTGCATACTGGTTGCACAGTTAAAAACATATACATGTAAAAGACAAACAATATTTCCATAAAACCGATGTCCCATACTTACATGTTAAAATAACTAAGGAATAAAAACCTTAAAATAAAGGGGCCTAGAACTTAGAACTTATGGAGCGTCAAGATTGGACAACCCCATTTTCTCATTTTCTACTAGTAGATTTTCGGGATTTTGCACTTTGTGTATAGCTATTTCAAAAAACGCAATTTTCCACTAGCAAAAGTTTGGATTTTACGCCAACTCTCGTGGCGCGTCAAAAGTGACAACTAAAAACTTCAAATTCCCACTAGCAAATTTTATTTGATGCTCCAAAAGAGGGCAACCCCATTTTCTCATTTTCTGCCCATAGATTTTCGGGTTTTTGAAGTTGCACCACCCCTTTTCATGAAACCCTATTTTCTGCTAGTAGAAATTGGGATTTTACTTTAACGACGACGAGGTGGTCCAAAGTTTAAAACTGAAACGACCGTAGTGCTTCCAACGCTCAGAATGGAACGGTCTTGGAAGATGGGCAGTCTACATTAACGGTAGAGGGTCAATCGTCTGACGGATAGCGTCACAGCTCGGAAAAAAAATGTGGACGGTTACCATTGAAAAACTTGCAAATACGAAAGGGGCTGTCCAAAGTCTGACAGTCCTTTATGGTATACTGCAAACTTACGACTTCCCAGCGCACCGTGTAATTAGAATGACGATGGTGGTTTGCCGTTGGGAATTTCCATTTTAAGTAAATGAGCGCATGGTGCCGGTGATATGTCCCCTAAACGATGCTAGCTGTAATAAACCATTGTATCCATGTCCAGTAGTATAATTAAATTTGTTGTGGAACGATAAAAGGTTGGAATTGAAAAAGTCATGTCAAGAGAAGAAGCTAAGTGCTGTTTAATCAAGTGAACCGAGATTTTCAAAAAGGGGAAAATAGAAAAAGTAAAATGGTAAACATTAAATTGCAACTTGAACTCTTGCCGAATTAGTTTTGACATACGTACAAATTCCAAAACACGTATTCAGCCAATAATTCCAATCATAAAAAGGATAGCCACGATGAAAATAAATTTTTCAGCCAGTACACCAGTCGGTCAGTCACTGATATAATATCAAAGATTTAATTTAATATTTATCGTTCAAATCTTTGTTTGAGTCATCAAATACAAGTGGGCAGTTAAAGTGGAGGCCTGGGTCATTACTAATGATTCAAAGTGACAATGTGGAGAAAACACAAACTTGCAAATGACGACCCAGAGCAGTCATCATATGCATGTACTGTAAAATACATGGATGGTGGATTGTATAACAAATCTTATATCTGAAGATCAAAAAAATTGGTTGTTCACTTTTGCCACTCCGAGTAACTTCCACCATAATCAGTCCATAATTTTTGTCAATCTTGGACATATTATTTTCAAAAATTTCCTTTAGAATAATACTCCCCTCTAAACTCCCATAAAATTGACATCCTTGACGTGAAAAAGGCCCGATCTTTTCCACAAAATCGGCTATATAGAGATGGAAATAAAAGTTGTATGAAAAAAGCCGATCCCAGCAAGGGAATGTCCGAATGACACCTGATGCCCGTCAATGGACGGCGGGTCAATACAATGGGCTGGCTGCGCAAGTTTGCGGTACTACATGTACAAAGGACCGTCACTCAGGCAGCCGCTTCCCAACTGTCGTCCACATTATAAAACTTTTTCTGGGTCCAGTGACGCCAATCTTCCTAAGACCTTTCCATTTCAATGTAGGGAGAAAAGTGTCGTTTCAAGTTTCTAGTTGTCCCCTTTTGGACCACCCTGCCATCGTGTTTTTTTGAAAAGGGATGGTGCAACTTCAAAAAACCTGAAAATCTACAAGCAGAAAATGAGAAAATTGGGTTGTCCACTTTTGGAGCATCGCAGTAATTTTGCCAGTGGGAATTTGAAGTTTTTACTTGTCCACTTTTGACGCACCACGAGTGTCCACATTAATTTTTTACTAGCGGAAAATTGCGTTTTTTGAAAATGCGCAAAGTCCACAATCCCGAAATCCACTAGCAGAAAATGAGAAAATGGGACTCCGATAGGGCGTGGCTTGAAAAGGAGATAATTAGCAGAATAAGAGGTTCACTTACAAATCCATCAGATTTAATGTAAAAGAGCAATTATATTGTTGATAAGTGTATTTAACCTTTCATTTTAATGCCATAATTTTGTCGATATTTAATCTTAACTTCCTAAAGACCATGACACATCATTTGACTACAAATAGGTTCTTGAGGTATGGAGTTACTGGGGCTTTTTTTGGGAGTGAGGAGGCCAACTGTTTGTTCCAAATTAAATTCTATATTCACTACAAGTAACATTTTAATTGAACTATTTCTCTGAGAATAGAAGCGAGGTTCTCTGGTGTATCAATTCACTGTACTTTAAAATGAAAACTGTTCTTGTGAGATTGGTCTTATTTACTAACAAAAAGTGTTTTTTTTTCAATATTCAAAGGCTCACTGTAATACACAGGCCTACATTCCTTCCAAAGCCATAGAGTAAGAAAAGTTTGACAGATATACATGCACCGGTATGTCACAATGACTATTTGACAAGCTCTTTACAATTGCTAATCACTTCAAGTGTGAACATGGTGAAGTCTTGTCCACCTTGAGCTGTCAACTGTTCACTCGAACCTGTCCTCTTGTGTATCACGATCCGATGGTGTCGTACCCAGAAATGACAGGAAGCTTTTGCTTTAGATGCTTGACCTTCAAAAATGGTACTGCACCCATTCAATTCGGGGGAAGTTTCCTTGGGTGAGTGCATGTTGGAAAAGCCCCTCTGCGTCGCCCTATGGTTTCAATAACTCCACGTGCCACCACTTTTAAAGGCAACACAGATTTCTGAGCTTTTCCCTCTTAGGCAGTTCTAGATTTCTAGACCCCTGGCATGGCTGATTATGTTTTTTACATAACAGCATGCTATATTCAACTGATTTGGCTACGTCATGTTTACTATATGCAAATGTTACCCATTGTCTCATGTTGCCCAAGTTGTCAAAACAACCAGTACCATACCACCACCCCCCAAAAAAATCCGGTACGTGAAGGTTTGTTTTATTTGTTGTTGCAACACAAGCATATTTCTTGAACTGCAGGGTGACTCCAAAATTGCACATAAAATATGCTGAGAAAATTGGAAAAAAAGCTGTCCTAAATGTGCTCCGGCCGTCTTCAGGAGAGTGAGGACGGCCAAAGCACAGAGTGAGAACGGCTAGAGCACACTGGCCGAAACGTCGAGTTGACACTCACCAGTTCTTTTAAGAACCGCACCTCGCCAAAAAGAGATTGATTCCATGGTTTACCCGCAAACCTATTTCTCTGTCTCTTCCACCATGCAAAGCTTCAAATCTTATTTAAACATTGGCGTATTTTGAATGAGTGTGTGTGCGTGGGTGTATGTTTGAGGACAAATCATACATAGCCCCATGGGAAAAGTACAAATAAACGCTTCCCCGAGATCGGGTCTCTTTGTTTTCAACCATGTTTCAGTAAAAAGACCTGGATGGGAGACGTTATGAGTGTATTAGTTTGATTTAGTAGGGCACCAGGAAATAACGGATTTTAACGTACAAACACACCAAATAATGGTTAGATCTTAGTATACGTTGTGAATTATTCTTAACACTCTGCCTTATTATAAAGCTACCCCCCTTTTCCGTTTTGCCTCTTTGAAAGGCATTGCAATGTTATTGTTCCTTTTAACGCTCAAAATGCTTTTTAAAAAATCTTAAGTTTGCGTAGGCCTATTTGCCCAGAATAGTTTGAATCCAATCTTTCTTTGAAATAAAAGGCCAATGAGAGTGAGGTGGCATATTGGAATGTTTTCTTTTGATGCATCCTTCCAGGGGAAGGTGCCATGGTAGTGTTATAAAGGGGTGGTACTTTCAATTCAATGAAAGAAAGAATTGTTAGACACAATAACCCAAGGAAATTTACCCCTGCTCTCCCCGCTCTCCAATTTCGGGACGCAATGGAAATAAGTTTTTCTAAACGTTTTGTGCGTTATCCCTGCTTTCCCAATGACTTTAGTCTAGCTGTTCATTTTCCACTTTTGTCTTTATCTACCTGTGGGTGTAATATATTGTGGGAACGCGAATAAATCAATGCCAATCAGATTATGCTCAAACGTATTGCATGATTGCGTTATAGATTAGTGCATCCTGAAGGTCTGCTGTAGGCCTTCAGTGTATATTTTTTGCTCTTATAGTATCAAAGATGGCAGTACATGTAGGCCTATGCGCGTCTGTCTTAACCTGTCCGGCATTTTGCATTCTTAAATGCAATTATCGTTAAATATATGAAATTCGAGGTCTGACCGATTTGCGAAATCGCACTTTTGCCACATCTATCGAATTAGCGCGACGTTTGACGTAGGGGTTAAAATGCCACTGAGAGAGGAATAATCTCTGTATCAAATCGCCCACACATCCCTGCGGTAGCGATTTAAGCATCGATTTCGTGTAAATCCAAAAATCTCCCAAACATTTAGACTCGAGATGGCTTTTGTTCATTGCGAATATGCCCAAACACAGTACATTAAAAGCTGCATATTTACTCCAATTACAATTAATCCTCTACCCCCGAATTACTGTGTTATAGCTCATGAACATCATTGTTGCATGCAAGAGCTAAAACAGTACTGCAGGATAATTAGCCATCCCAAACTTTGAAATAAGGTTAGAAAATTTAACAATTGTATTATTACTGATGAGCTATTAAAGTAAAGATGGTTTGGAGACGACGAAAGATATTTGGCAATAGTGACATTACGTTCAGGAAGGGTAAACTTGTCGGGTTCCATAAAAATTGTGGGTAATTTTTGTTACGAACTTTGTTCGTTTCACTTGTGCACACTGAAGAAATGAGGTTTAAATCATTGTATTTTAGTTTATTGAAAAACTCTCTTTTTTCGTTTACATCTGCACATAATATGCAAACTAATAGTTAGAATAGATTGTTTTGTTCCAGGAAATGTCCGAAAATGTACCGTGGACAACATATTCAAGTGGATTTTATCCTCTAATCAATTCCATCTTTGCACTTTTATTCTTAGGGAATTTCGAATCAGTGAACGACTTCAGATTGTCTGCTAAGCTTTAATGAAGCTGATGCTGAACCTCGTGCGCCGGAGAAGAAAATGATATACGATGTTCAACTTGCTTGATTGTCATCATGGTGTTCTTGTGTAGATTGTGGGTTTATGTTAGAAACTTTCGGACTTTGTGTAAAAAGAAGGTTGTTTATCGCGTAAAGGTTTTCCCGGCCAATTCAAGTCAACTGCTCTTTTGTTCATTGGTTGTTTGGAATTAAATCTTGCCTTTTTGTTCGGATTCGAAGGTCCTATAATGTTTCTTTCAAGATTCTACCATTGCTGTGATTACCATGCTCATTTATTGCTAGACCGTTCAACCTTAATTGAAGCGTTCGGAGGCAATGTCCTAAGGCCGGTTCATACTTCAGACGAACGCAAAAGCGGAGCAAATTGACGTCACGGAACGCAGCGACATTGCCAGAAAGTGTTCAATTATTATTTTACAAATTCATAGCATGAATATTTGATCTGAAGTTTGTCTTCTATTCAATTCGACCATCTGAAAATGAATTTCAATGCAATTTTTACGAACCTGGCCTAGATAACCTACAATAAAGGTTTTTCCCCGGCTAATTTCAAATTGTTCAGTTTAACATGAGCCCACAACATGTTTGAACGTAGGCAGGTATATACAACACCTGCATAAATGCCCGTCATCTAATTGGTGCATCGTTGATAACATGCATAAGCATGCAGAGTGCAAAGAAATTTATAACAACTGTGCGCTAGAAACGAATACCGAACACCTCCGGATCAATTGCACTGCAGGTTCTAGTGGCGCAAGTTTCTCAATGGTAAAACGACGAGAGATCAAGCTCCGCCGTTCACAATTCTACGAAATAATTATAAGAACTTGTTTTGTAAGTGATTCTGATGCTGCCAACATAAGAACATTGATAAAATGCTGCCAAACGATTAAACGAGCTTGGAATATCATGTCGGAAAATTAAAGGATTCACAACTGGACAACTTCCAGTTTGAATCAGTTAATTAATCTAGTTATACTCAGAAAATCAGATGATGAGGATTTGTACAGGTGTTATATAAAACAATAATGAATGTTTTGCATTCGTGCTAAAGAATAATTGCATTTATTCTTATCATCGCACTCATAAACATTCATTATTTGTATAATAGCAGACTGAAACCTGTTTAACATGCTTCATTCAATTCTGTTTCAGTAGCATGTACTTTCTGATTACTTATACCCATGTTAGAGGGAATTTTGCAAGGGAAGAATAACAAGGACGCAGGGACACACACAAATTCATTTTGTGAAAGCTGTGACTCTGCTTTCATATGTCATGCCGAATTTCAAATAGTCGGTATAATTATACACAAAAATAAAGAAAATTCAACAACACCTGCAGAGTAAGACAAACTTCCTGTCTTGATTCCCTTATAAGTCCATTTAACCAACCTTGCGCAAAACCTCTTTAATGGCACGAATTGGGATTATTTTAACCCATACAACAGGAATATTATATAGAGCTCTTAAAGTGAAAAGGCCTTTTAACGCCTACAATTTGAAATGCATTATCACCCAAACGGTCCAAGCAAATGCTGTCCAGTTTGAACGTAAAATGTCAGCTGGTGGTGTTTGTAACTGACGTGCTTTTTAGAGTGGTGATCCAGGGATATAAACACAAACACTCAGATTAAGTTCTGTGCAGCTCTTCAGAAAATACTCCTTAGCATGTTTTAATGTGTAGCATCGTCAGCATCTCCTTTCAAATCAACTTGTGAAAGTGAAATACGCTATTTGTTATTTCACTTGATCAGACTTTATAGAAGTAAACTCAATTTTTATTACCTCCGGATCTTCAAGCGCAAATAAGATGAAATAAAAGGCATTATAAAGCCAATGCATTCTCTTAAACAAGCTATAAACATCGTCAGTTGATTTTTTTATAGCATAATTTTCTTGGACTATTTTGAGGCACACAGGTAGATTGAATGTAAATAGACACGGTGAAAATACCACACATCTGTAAAATCCTCTGCCCTTTGATGATTCTTAATAAGAATGCCAATTTGACAAGAAATTGAAAATTGAATTTACAAATGAAAAAAGGGTTGAATGCCATAGACCCTACGTGTAAAAGACCAAGAATAAGTTAAATTAACCTGGTTGTGCACAATAGGAAGCTGAAGCCTACTTCGAAAAGGAAATCTCGGTTTGAGCAAAATCAAACAATCTGCACGAATGTGAGAGGGTTTCAAAAATGAACGCAATTTTGCTGAAGTTGGCCGGGAAATCCTATAATGGATTCATGTAATGGCAAAACAAATAATTTCAATGTTCACTGTGTGAAGTAGTGTCAATAATTTTCTGTTTAAATAACCAAGAAGCAGATAGTACTGTTTTTCTTGAATATCACGGAACTGTGAGTTTCAAAGGGTTTCACCAACGAAAGGGAATTCGAGCACTTTTTCTATAGTATTTCACGAGAGTTAAGCTATTGAAGGAGTGGGTGTAATTTGAGCTTCGAGGCACAAACCTTCATGACTGCGTGCGTCATTGTCCCACTGAAAACACAGTCTATGTGCTCTGATAATTCGTCATAGAATCATTGGTGTAAATTTCATGCCCACACTATTCGTTGACTATGCATCACAAAGGATCTTACACTTGTCTGATATTGTAAATGATAGAAACCCAATGATCAAACTTTTGAGTAAAGATGGTGTATTTCGTATATGGTGTGCATATGGAATATATATTTGCAATGCCATCTTTAGAACGATATTTATTCAACACGATAACCCCAATCACCAAATACGCTCCAAAAATGCGTCGTTTTTGTCCAGCTCTATCGGGTATAATTATGGTTACGTATATCAGCCTTCATTTTACGTCCCACGACCTTTGCACCGATATATTGGTGAATATTTGTGAAAAAATAAATAGTTATAGGACTTGAAGGATTTTGAATCTAAAGAGAAGTTAACACAGTCTTCAATACACCTTTACGGGGTCACTCCTCTTTGAAGCACTATTTTGTATAAAAGCTATTGCCATTGCAGCTTGCTTACCGTATGTTTGAAATGCATAAAGTTGTAATAATCAGTGAGTAGCCTACTTTTACACTAATCAGTGAACCAAGGTTCTGATAATTAAGAATTGAGTAGATTGAGAAATATATGAGTGATAAATGAATAAACAAAGATAAAAAATAATTTGAAATAAAATTACATGCGTTGTACCTCATGATTCTTGTTTCGACTTTTTTGTATTTATTTTTATCCCAACCAAGCGATGCATTTTTACAGTTGTCTCTTTGGCTATATTCTCTCTTATTGACGAGACAACTGTGTAGCGTTCAAAATGACATCATCACTGTTACTGACGTCACAGGTATTGATCCCCGGACACGTACCTGGCAACACGGGCACAAGAACTGGCACGATTATAAATTCAAATGACACTAATTGTCCGGAATACTTCCGATGCGGACAAGTAGGCTGTTGATGAATGTGTAAGGGAACGAGTAACTTAGTGTGTTTTACGAGTGAGAAAAGCTCGTTAATGATAAGCATTTCGTTATTCATATGGGTGACGATGAATCGACCAACGGAAGTCTTCATTGCTGAGCTTATCAGGATGCGCGTAAACAAGGTAAAAGTTCGTTCACCTTTCCTCGCAATAGTTTTATTCTCCAGGCCGACGTGTTGCTCCAATCAACACGAGAGCGAGAGTTCCTGTAGGTCACAACGATGACCTAATTGAGCAAAGTTTGACTAAAAGTTGGTATGTATCCGATCAGATAACTGGAACAGAGTTTGCCTTAAAACACTGGTTTGTTACTCATACCACCGTATTAACGGACGAGGATGCAAAATCTGTGTTGTTTACTCTATAAAAAGAAGATAACTATTTTGCGGTAACTGTTAGAAATGATAACATGTACTAACCAACGGATAATGTATCACCAGCTGATAATCCACAGACATTTACCAATAACGTATCATCTGCGGACGGATAATAAATCAACCAGCAACGTATCAAAAGTCGACCGATAAATGATAAGTATGGGAAAAGGAATGTAAAAATTAAGGTAAGATAAAGAATTGTTTTGTCCTTTTGAGTATGCCCCCATTATCTTAAGTGTCCCAAAGTCTCGCAATGACTAGAACATTTGGGGCTCAATCAAGATTTAAAGCTTTTTGCTGTCTGTGCTTTTTGAAATATCGATTTTCTTTTCCGAGCGAACTTTGAAGGAGCACGATGACCGTAACAGATGAACTTCCTTGTTTAACATTTGCCAAGCTTTCTACATCTTGGAAGGTGACTTTTAGGTCGGTCGGAGCCAATGGCGTGCAACAGTTTCAATAAGGTCTGAACAAATATTCCTATAAATCCAATGACGTGTCAGCCATGAATTACACGCGTCACACACGTTTGCGACTAAAGGCTAGGTCTTTCCATAATTTACGTTTTTGGTGCGTTGCGCACACGATGTGTTCATGCGTTTCACTTTTGTGGACACAAAAATCGATGCAGTTATGCGCTGCTGCAGGAGACCAGACGCATCTTGGATGGCCATCCGACAGTAAACTGTGTGTACTCGCGATGTGTGATGTTGAAACTGCTATTCTTAAAACGCAGTCGCAATAGCGCATGACAACACGACATCCTTCTTCCTCCACAATTGAATATTAATACCAAGACGCTCCCAATTATACTTGAAATGAATGAATGATTTTATTGTGGGCCGATTTATTTCGAGCAATGTCTCACGGGTACCGGTACAGGCGGTTTAGCTTTAAGTCAGTGGGCGGACAATTAACGAAAAAAGGAAACAAAGCGAACCTGCTTTGCACTGCCAAAAATTTTCTTCTGGTTCACAAATCTAACAAAATAGCATAGGAGTTTTAACTCCAAAATTGAACAAGGAAACAAAAACGTTTCAGTCTATAGTGATTCTGTTCCGTAAAGAACTTTGGAGCAGGCACAATAGTTAGCTGTAAATGGTCAAGTTCGAAGTTCCCTCAGCTCAAACGATTTCCTCCGCGCGAAGACATGTTGTCAGTCAAGACCTCGGGAGAAGACTGATTTCCCACAAGCCACAGAAACAACTTCATCCAGTAGAGCTTGAAACTGGTGGCCAGGACCAGTTGCGTAAATTTGTGCCGGGAATTGGAGGATAGCAGATGACTTAAATTAGAAGGTGAAGGGATATAGACCCCCATCCACGGGATTCATGCACTTGCCAGGGTAATTTTCTACGGTTAACAGAGACGACCGACAGTTCCAAGAAAGAGGCTAGTATAAACGGACCGACCGAATCACACTTAGCAAATCGGCGACCCTTCTGGGAATGAGAGCTTCAACTTTGTCAAACGTGTATCTCGCTGAGGTTTAAGGATTTTACCATTAGAGGTAGAAAAGGGTTGTTAGTGACTCTTATGGTTATGACGATATTAAAGGGAGTCTTGAGGACTAAAGTGAAAACACTTGAAAAGTCTGAAAGAAAATGTGACCATGAAAAGTTTGTAACTTTATTCGACTGTCCTAATAATATTTTATCAAGAGTTGTCAGATATCTTTAGGTCCGGGAATCAAAAAAATCTTAGGTCAGGTATCGCCACGGCTAAATATATATAGCTCTCCATTTCACTTTCTGGATGTGCATTCTTTACACAGGCCTAATACACATTGGCACGAAATACAGGGGGAAAATGACATTTCAAAAACGCCCCCCTCTCCCCCCCAAAAAATCTGACCTAATTTTAATAACCTGTCACTTTGCTACGACAAATTTGCAGCGCGGTATTTTCAATTTAGACAAGCCAAAAAGAGCTCCGATTTAAGCGTGAACTCCAGAACTCCCAAGAACCATCGACGTGAATTCTCCCATTATGACTGTTTATGTTTTTCAACGAAGTTACTTTTACACATCTACTCAGTACGTACAGATCACAGTACGTTGACATGGAAAAGAAATGTTGTCCCGCAATCAACAAGACTATCCAAATGTTGACAACTAGTTCAGAATATTTCGGATACTTTCAAAAACGGAGAAATTCCTCTGTTTCGTTGCGTGACAGTGGGCGATACCAGTCACTCATATGCAGCAAGGTATGGGACGGAGAGAACCCCCCCCTGCTTTGTGTTTGTCATTGTCTCGCAGGAATCTGGAGAATTCCTTTCAGACATCTTGGGGGGGGGTGTGTTAAGTAACAATAGTCTGGAATGTGTATTGGGATTAGACATGTTGGGGGGGGTACCCCTCGATCTCATTTCTTGCTGGGTATATATTCGTTGCGTCCCCAATTTCAGTCGTATTCCTGAACGTACAGTATAAATTTTAAACCCGTAATGGAATTGAACCAGGTGATTTTTTTGGGGGGGGTTGGAATGAAATCGTAGAATATAGTCTTGTTCTTTGAATTTAATGTTTTCTAATTAACACACTACGTTGAGGAATTATGACTAAAATTGGGGACGCCGCGAATACGGTCCATTAGGGTCCAGTCCACTAATTCAAGCCCCATTGAAAACAGTGTAAAATCAGCATCGTTCAGGGCCCAATAGCATGCAC